CGGATGACCATAATTAAGATCATTACGAGGGCAGGTGAGGTTGACATTTGGATAGGAGAGGCTATACGTTGCGCATCACTATTTCTTGCATCCCTCACTGTATATATAATTAAAAATAATTTAAAAGTATTTAGTAAGGCCTACTTTAGATCTTACAATAGCTTCCATTCTCCTATGAAATCCTGCTGAGAAGTTTTTAAATGGTTGCTTGCGAAATTCGAACCCTGTGCCGCAATTCCTAACTGTGCTATCGTGTTCAACTCTTGGTTTAATTTGTTTTTAAAATTCTATGAAGACTAGTGCGTGAAACACAAGAAGCATTTATACATGATCCAAAACTGCATTTTCAATACCTTGGATTGTTGAATGAATTTTTATATGTTTTTAAAATTCAATGAACGCTAGTATGTAAAACACCAGAAGCATTTACACATGACTTAAGACTGTATTTTCAATACCTTCACTTCGAACTGGATGACTTCTCATTTGATATTGTTGTCTGAACCCGTCGTTTAAAACCTGTCAATTAAGTGTTGTACATATGGGTAGATTGCTTTTTTGTTTGGATGATTTTGATTAAAAACTCTTTCTTCAGCTTTTACCTAAAGCGACGTTTATGACCAAACCCAGCTCCTAACTAGATCACTGAATTACGAATTACTATGTTCGAATTCCACAAGCAGCTGTTCAAGAACTTTTGTGAAGCATACCTAAGAGGATGGAGGCTATTTTAATAGCTAGAGGAGCAATAATAAATAATAAATTGGTATTAATGATCTTAATTATAAAGATTAATTCAATTAATAAACTAATTAATAAAAAAGAATCCAACAAAAAGAGAATCAATGAGGAGTGTAAAAAGGCCATACAGAAAAGAAATAAGGAACAGTAGAAATATATGGAAAGAAGAACCCCAGACGGAAGATTAAGCTACGAAGATGCAAGATAGAGGGCCGATAAAATATGCCGAACAGAGAAAAGAAAATACGAGAACGGTAACATACAGAAAATGGAAGAAAATCTCCAAAGCAACGATATAAGGGAAGCGTGTAGATATCTACGCAATTTAAGAGAAGGCTACAAACTCTGAACAAATCTATACAGAAATCAAGAAGGGAAAATAACCAGTGATCCAAAAGAAATAAAATCAGTTCAAACTCTCCTAGGGATGCAAGAAAATGAAGAGCATATGGACATGCATCACATTGAGGGAGACACAAAAAATATAGAACCCCGACGATGGAAGAGGTAAAACAAGCAATACGAGCACAGAAGAATAACAAGGCTCTAGGTATTGACAAAGCCCCCTCTGAGCTATATAAATTAAGTGGCGAACACCTAGTAAGCCAAATGTATATGCTTATTAATAAGATTTGGAATGATGAAAAGATCCCTGGAAAATGCCCCATGAACAACCATGAACTTTATCAACTTCAAAGAGGCACCAATCTCAGAATTCGTTAAATTTCAGAGACTTCGATGGGCTGGTCATGTAGTGAGAATGGAGACTGAAAGATTGCCAAAAAGAGCTCTAGATAGTAAAATGCAGGGCGCAAGACCAAAAGCAAGGCCACGGAAAAGGTGCAGAGGATGAAGTGGCAGCGATGGCGCAAAATTTGCTAGACGTGAGAACCAGGAAAAGATCGACTCGTGACCGGCAAGGTTGTAGGCATAGTTTTGAGGAGGCCAAGGCTCGATTTGGATTGTGTTCGTCACTGGAGAGAGGAGATTAATGATCTTATATTTTGTTGCATTGTTGCTGCTTCCAATGAAATGTTCTGTTTAAAATCGAGCTTTATTTGATGTAATATTGTAACAAGTTCTTCTACCAAAAGCTTGCTGTCGCTTTGAAGACAGTATATATCGTAGGAGCACGATTTGTCGGTGTATTGAATTGGTAAACAACACCGCGTAATGAAGTCATTTCTACCTCCCATTATCGTGCAAAGAAAAACGAATTTATAAGCTGCTAAATGTTTTTACCTTGATGCAAGTGCATCTTTAAGATTTTACTAAATATACTTGATAAAGGATATCCTCTGTCCCAAAATTACGAGTTAAGTTTAGTTTATGTAAAAATATAACATGCATAAAATACATATATTAATTGATTACTATTTCCTTTATACAAGCCCCTTCCCATATCAGTTGGCCCAACGTTAGATTGATAAGAAAATTAAATTTTAGAGAACCAAAATAAAAGCGCAGCGGAAATTTTAGAAGTTATCATGCATCGAACATTTTTGAATTTCCTAATTATAGAAAATATTTTATAACGTAATGAAAACTATTGATTAAACAGAATAATAATAAATTTAAAAAAACGCATAGAATATGTAATATCAACAAAAAAAAATGTGAATGTTTACCACTGAGTTACATCCCCTTTATTTTACATCCATGTTACATCCACAATTCTTCGAGGCATAGTTTTTACTAAGTTCTGAAAAAATTCTAATGTAAATGAGTCCCATATTTCTTACAATTTTTCCTTCAATTCGTTGATGGACCTGGCAGAATGTTTACTCAAAGCTTTTTTCATTTCGCGCCACAAAGTCTCTATCGGGGACAAGTAGGGACTGTTAGAAACCCATTCCAGAAGTGTTATACCGTGGTCTTCAATCTTTTTTGAGGTATCACAACCTGCGCCGTTCTGTTGGAAGACAAAATCTTCCGCTTCCATAATCGGTAAAAGAGATTATTCTAAAATATTCAAATATTTGTCCGTGTTTACAATCCCATCGATAAAATGTGACTTTCCTACACCTTTAGACGACATGCTGCCCCAGATCATGACAGATGCAGGAAATTTGACTTTTTTCTTCAGACAGTCGGGATAGAAAGCTTAATTTTTCCTACGAATGACGCGACTCCTACTGTCTCCAACACGCACTTCAAATTTGGACTCATCACTCTATTGTATTGAATCCCATTGCAACTGAGTACAATCTTTAAGCTCTTTTGACCATCGTAGTTTATTTTTCTTTTGTTGTAATGTTAAAAGTGGACTTTGGACTTTTACCAATCATGCGAACAGGCAGGATTCAGGTCAGGCTTCGGCACAAACGACCATCTACAAGTTATTAAAAGCCTCATCGAAAAATGTATAGAGTACAATAAACCCCTCGTCCTAATATTTGTGGATTACGAGAAAGCATTCGACACAGTAAACCACCAGAAAATGCTAGAAGCTTTAAAAGAGTGCCGAATAGATCACCCCTACACCACTGTCATCAAAAATATCTATGATAATGCCACGGCATGCGTCAGACTCCATGAAGATACATACAAGTTCAACATTCATCGTGGAGTTCGCCAGGGCGGCACCATTTCACCAAAACTGTTTACAACATTATTGGAATACATGTGTAAGCGTGCAAACCTAGACAAAAAGGACATAAACATAAATGGAGAGCAGCTTAGTCACCTCAGGTTCGCGGACGATATAGTCCTGATAACAGACCGCATAGAGCATGCCATCGAAATGTGCGAAAGACTCTACCATGCCTCTACACAAGTGGGTTTAAAGATCAATAACTCAAAAACACAAGTGATGACAAACCTTGTTCTGAGTGAGAACATCAACATAGCTGGAACAAGTATAGAACAAACATCAGCATACAAATATCTGGGACACGAAATTCGCTTAAGTAGAGATAACCAGACCAATGAACTAATGAACTAGGTTTTCCAATCAGCTCTTCCCATCTGCTTGAAGAGAAAAGTCTTCGATCAATGTGTGCTGCCGGTTCTAACCTATGGTGCGGAGACGCTAACACTTACTAAGACGTCCGCAAACAAAATTCGAACAACACAGAGGGCAATGGAACGGTCCATGTTGAGATTAACCCTGAGAGACCGAATACCCAACACAGAATTGCCCCGTAGATCGGGAGTAACCGACGCAATCAAAAGAATATCAACCTTAAAATGGAACTGGGCAGGGCACGTCGCGAGAACGAAGGACGGCAGATGGACAAAACGCATTCTTGAGTGGAGACCCAGACAAGATGCCTTTAGGAATAGAGGACGACCACCAACAAGATGGACGGATGACCTGAAACGGACACATCAAAATTGGATGCAGGCGGCTTAGGACAGAAATTTGTGGGGCGAACTACGGGAGGCCTATGTTCAGCAGTGGACGAGTATGGGCTGAATGATGATGATGATGATGAATGTTAAAAGTGGCTTTTCCTTAGCCTACTTAAAATAAAATGAAATTTATTAAAAACAATTCGTATCAATTTTTTCAACTATAAAACTTATTTTGTAAGTACCAATTCCTACTTTGTGGGCCTCTCGGTTGTTGTTGTTAATCTAGAAATGGGTCTTCCGATAACGTCACTCCATATAATTTGCTTGTCGAATTTTCACTGTAATTCTTAATGTCCTTCGATCTGCTTCGGTTATTTTACTTTTTCGTACAGTTCTAGGTTTTGTGACGACCGAACCTGTATTTAACTTCTTACTATATTTCTCACACTATAGCTTGACAATTGCAACGTATTCGCGATTTCCGAATTGGTTTTTTCAGAATTAAAAAAATTTAATAATCATTGAACAAATTTACTCATCGATAACTTTAACTCGACTCATTGTACAATCCTCAAACGGCAAAAAGCTTTACAATATTACAAAATACATTTGACATTAACTGACAATATTATTGTTTTGATGTCATTTTTCCATTGCTACCTCTGGACTTAACGTAATTATGAAAAAAAAAAACAACGCATGTTGACATAAGTGAATGCATAGATAGGGTTTAGTGAATTTTTTTATTGTTAAAAATAAATAAAAAAACATAAGGGTAATGCTTTTAATAAATATTTATAAAAATGCCATATGGGAACTTATAAAAACATGCAGAGTATAATTTGTTTATGGTAATCGACTTAAATTGCAAATTCCACAGGTGGGCCAACTGATATGGGAAGGGACTCGTATGTTATATATGAATTGAGAACTAAACCAGATTTCTCTAATAATAATTCTAGGGTAGCCTTCGGCTCAGTAAACCGAAACAAGAGAGAAGTGGTACTTCAAGCTGTCACGAGAGCGATAGTGATGAATCGGGCGGTAGAGAATCATCGTGTAATGCCGAAGAAGAACCAAAATCATCTTTAAACCCACCGACCAATTTACCTCCCAGACAATTAAGGAGCAGATTTTATCCCCCGAGCAAATATAAAAGCAAGTATTAATTACAGTACCCTTCGAATTACTTTTTTCACCCTATTTTTAATGTACAAAAAGAAGTGATCTTGATTGACTTGAATGCCCATTATTACATTGTTTTCTTAGGTTTAGCGGGTAATCACGTTTAAGGTTAGGTTGTCAATTTTATCTGGATATTATCTGAACATAAGTGCTATTTCATAAAATATTTACTTTGGTAATTCTTTAACATCGTCTCATTAATGGTTGTTTGCACATTTGCAACAGTAAGTTGGTGACACTCTTGCAAATAAGTCTACGCACTATCCAACGCAAGGCGAAAAAGTTAAAAAATTTTCTGTATTTTTCTTACAAGACAGAATTTTGCTCAACTATTCTGGCAATTTTGTTTTTGATTTTATCGAATCTTCTACATATTTTTCGGTAGTGGGTAAACATCTGCACCAGTGTTTGCTAGAAAATTCGAAGACGAAGGCAAAAATATAGATAAGGTTGTTAGAGAGTGTGAAGTATTGATTTTTGGTACTAATTTTTGATACTTATCAAGTATCCACTCGTCAGTTACAATGCGTTTACTCGACCCATGACGGGTAATTACAATTAAAGCCTATGTATCACGTTGGTTTATATTTATTTTATGTTATATTTTAGCCCGTCCAGTACGTAGTAGTCATAAGAGAATATCCTTAGATGATAGAAGAACTTTAACGTTGTTTTCGCATAAGATGCACCGTGATACCGATGTTTATGAAAGGGGCCACGATTCTGAAGAAAGAATATATGATGTTAGGTAAGTCCGATTGAAAAATACATTGAAAATTTGTCGAGGGACCTCGGTAGTTTTAGATTTAGACAGACCCTCTTTAAGATCTAGTATTTAGGATTACTACTCAAAATCACATCGTGATATGACAATCAAAATTTGTCTACCTATTTTCAAATCATTTAGATATTACGTAAGTGATTGAGATATGAATCTGGTAATTTTTTAATATATTTCTAATATAATCTGCTACGATATCGATGTCTGAAGAGACTCATTTGAGTTTTATTTGGGTTGAATGTTACTCTCCATCTTCGACACCACCTGTCGACTAGGTTAAGATGATTTTGAGAAAACCATAGTACTGAATCTACGTCTCGTGATGTTGTTACGAGAGCTGTATCATCTGCGTAGAGTTAAGTGGTTGTGTTAGTGTATTGAGGGTTGGGAAAGTCACTATTGTAAATTATGTATACTATGAGTGCCAACACTAAACCTTGTGGTACTCCTGCTGTATGAGTAAAAGAATCGGAGAAGTGACCTCGTTCTTTAACCGTGATTAGACGTTGAGAGACATATGAATGGATAAGTCTAACGAATGAGAGGGGCAGACCGATGTTCAACAGTTTCTTGGCCAGTTCAGCATGACAGACTTGGTCAAAGACTTTTTGACGATGAGAGATGTGTGACGATTTCTGTCAAGTTCTGTGCCGTTTTGGTGGAGTAACCCTCTCTAAAGATAAAATTGAAACGATGGAATGATATTATGTTCGGTGGTAAAGTCAACGAGTCTCTCCTGAGGATGTCTGTAGTCTCTTATTCTTTTAGGATGATTGGGACGTAAGGGATTAAATATCTGTTCTTTAACCAGCAGGGGTAGGTGATCTGACGTGATCGAGTCGCATATAAAGCATTATAAGCACATCGTAAGTACACACGATGTGGTCGACGGACATGCCCATGGGACTCATAAAAGTCGGTTCACGGTTACGTATGCGGTGTAGGGGGAGGTTAAGGAGCAGATCCGAAAGGTCAATTCCTGCACGGTTAGTTGACGTGTCGCCAAATTGCGTGTTCCTGGCGTTAAAGTTTCCAAGTGATGGCCTTATTCAGGCTGGACACAACCAAGCAATGCTTCGGATAGGGGTTGAGTAGGATGTTTGTATTAAGAGACTAGTGTAAGTGTGGTGTTGTTATCGATGTGAATTTCTGCTGCCAGGAAGTCTTCATCATTTAGGATTACATAAGGAGCGATGGTGTGAGAGGAAAAGGGGATGCCATATTTGATAAGGAAGCCAATACCACGTGATCATTGCCTGCGGGGGTCCGATCGGAAGATGCGATGCGTTTTTTATACACTTTGTGTTTGCAATTTAGCAACGATCTTCCGCCGGGAGGCTAATAGCACAGCAGTTAATAAACCTGTTTGTTATTAGCCGGCCATAGTGACAATCTGTGTCCTGATTGGTCACTTCTGGTGACAATATGTATGCTGGTTAAAACTTATTCAGTTAAAATTCAATCCAGAGAACTTCATTTGAAACCGATGGATTCTTAACCAAAGATTGATGTAAACATTTTAAAATTTGCATGTGTTACGAGGTTCGTTTAAGAACTTGGTAAGGCTACCTAAAAATATTAGTATAATGTGTCAACACTGCAGACAACGCAGTGATTGCAAGTTGTATATTTATTTTACAATACTTGTACATTACATTAAAAAATCAATGTTTAGTGATCCTCACAGGACATTGAAGGTATTCTTGATATATTTCCTAACATAACTTTACGTTTTTTATTTTTAGGGGTAGCAGAACTAGGCATCTAATTCGAATGAATCGAATGCAAAGACGTACAGCTTTGTCGCTTCGGCCAATAAGACAAAAATGTTATGCTGATTCACTTTCACCATCACATTTTAACTCTGACAGTGAAGGTAAATTTGTTTATTAACTCTCTTTAAATTCAATTTAACGTCGGTAGTTTCACGATCTCGGCAATGTAAAGAAAAAAGTAAAAGTCGGTCAGATAGCTCAGCGGGCTGTGCGGCTGCCTCTCATTCGCTTCACTGTCGAATGGTTCAGTGGATGTGGGATCGAGCCCCAGCTCGGTGTTCAGAAAACAAGAAGTCTAACGCAGCAGTTTAAAATTCTAGATGAATCTGCGGCTTAGACTAGAATATGCTGGGATCTGATCGGCCTATGGTGGAGCAGTACGGCAAGAGATAAGGGCTTGCGGCTCGGTGATACTCCTCCATAGATCCCTACCGGACGGGCGTAACGCCTAAAAAACCGGATATATATATATATATATATATATATATATATATATATTATATATATATATATATATTATATATATATATATATATATATATATATATATATATATATATATATATAAATAAGGATCACTCAGACGAGTGGTGGGTTCAATTATCGGTCAACTAGGTGGAGAAATAAAAGACAAAGTTGATACTACTTCATCTATTTTATTTAATGACTTTTATGATTTTTATAAAAATTTTTGCATAGTTGGAAGTGAATCAATGATTTTCTTAATTCTTTTTCACTAGTTAATATTATATTAAATATTATATGCTTATTAGACCACGTGTTCTGTTGCTTTGCTAATTTTTACTAAGTCTCTAAATGTTGTTAATTATTTAATTGTTTATACAATATCACCATATGATGTCCATTTATTTGAGTTTTTGTACTACCTTTTTAATACCATTGACAACTACATATCTTTTTTAAGGTAACTATTTAACATCTTCTTCATGAAGGTGTGGTACTCATAATGTAAAAATTTTGAGATGAACTGATGATGCTATCAGAATTCGATAGCGAAACGTCTTCAAAATAGATGAAGTAGTATCAACTTTGTCTTTTATTTCTCCACCTAGTTGACCGATAATTGAACCCACCACTCGTCTGAGTGATCCTTATTTATATTGGATAGACGGTCGTACTCCTTTTTGCGATATATATATATATATATATATATATATATATATATATATATATATATATATATATATATATATATATATATATATATAGATAGATAGATAGATATATATAGTTTCACGATCTCGGCAATGTAAAGAAAAAAGTAGATTTCATAAATTTAAATTATTGGACCAATGTAGTGAGTTACATTTCCGAATTTTCGTCGTTTGTGATTTTACTATATATTCCAGTAGTCAGAGACGAAAATGCTACTGAACCTCATAAAATCATATGAACAAGCTGAATTTTGCCGAGAATATTAATTTTCGGACCCAAAAAAAACATGCAAAAAAGTTACCACTTTTACCCCCCAGGGTTCCCCCTAAAACACCCCTCGTATGAGGTAAAAACGCAAAAAATCGATTTACCAATAATCTGTACATCGTAGAAAAAAATGTTTTAAATAAAAAATGTAGCTGAGATAATCTTAAACAAAAATGTTTATTAGCACTTTTTGTGTAGAATGAACTGTTCTATCGCAAACAACGCTTGAAGCCACGGTCGATTTTGAACGTCAGTTACGCGCGCAAAATCAATGTTCAATAAAATTTGTATTAGCTCGACGGTAAAAATTTAAGTGGCCTATCGACAAAAATCAAGATGTGTTAAAGGTAAACAGTTCAGCTTTCGTATGGACTTTTTGTATTTTTTTTTTGTATTTTTTCGTATGCACTTTTTACGATTCTCAGAGATCAATACAATCTATCCCTTTAATTTTTTTCTCTCGTCTTTATAGGGGTGTGGTCTGGAATCTTCCAAAGGCATCTCAGTCCAGGACGCCGTCTGACTGACCTTAGTCCATGTCACAGCAGCCATTTTTGCTTTTTTTTTTCAAATCTTCCTTTGTTGAGCTCTAGTGAAGCATTATTTGAGACTTATTTATTTTTTTGAAAATTTGAAATCCGAAATTATACTTCACAACTTCGAATTTTCAAATTGTAAAAAATAATTCTTAGGTGTATGTGCTAAAAAGCAGTTCTAGTATACTGATAAGATCAAGAATTGTTTTTTGATCGAAACACTTTACAATTGTTTGAGCTTTCTCTCCCGATGATTGACTTTTAATTAAGTTTATTAATAGTTTATATTATTTATAAGAAGAGAGTTTTAATTATATTATTTGTAGATTTGTACATATTTAAATTAAAAATTTGACTCATAATTTTTTTTCTAAAAAGATTAATTTATTAAAAGTTGAAATAATACTTTATTTTTTTCAAAAACTTTTATAAAACGCAAAAATTTATTGCTATTCTACGACCACGCGGCATCTACATATAAAAATATCTAAAAGTTGCATTTGTTGCCCCACTCTTTCTTATTTTAGAAGCAGTTATAGCGCTGACGTGACCGCTCCCTAGTGGTACAAATTAGGAAATAAAATCATGATCAACTTCTATTGTTTTGTGTATAACTCTTGCCGACGACGCTGAAAAGTGACAGTGAAAAATCATTCTAAATGCGTCTATATTCTTTGCTTATAGCATGAAATTTTAGTGCTAGTAAGTAGTAGTATTAACTTAAAAATATGCTTAAAAACGCTGGATTTAAACTTTCACACAACAAACGATCGAAAACGTTTAAAACTTTTTTCTCAATTACTCTAGTACGTTTTTCAAGGGAACCAAATTTTTTCTGTAAAGTACACCTAAAACCGTATTCTTGGAGGTATTTCCCGTGACGTGCGATCGTTTGCAATGTGTTCTTCTTCTTTTGGTGCCTATTCGTTTCGAATATTGGCGATCATTCTGGCTATAATTATTTTATTAACTGATGCTTTAAATAGTTTAGTTGTTGTTGTGGAGAACCATTTCCTCAGGTTTTTTAAACATGATATTTTTCTTCGCCCAATTCCTCGCTTTCCGAATACTTTGCCTTGATAGATTGTTTTCAATAATCTGTATTTAGTGCCGTTTCTCATTATTTGTCCGAGATATTGTAACTCTCTCCTTTTAATCGTATACATCACTTCCCTTTCTTTTCCCATTCTTCGTGGTACAGTCTCGTTGGTTATCTTGTCCGTCTGTGATATTTTTAGGATTCTTCTGTATAGCCACATCTCTAAGCTTTAAGTTTTTTCTCCATCACTTTAGTGAGTGTCCAGGATTCAGCTCCGTAGTATACTATCGTGAAGATATTACATCGTAGGAGCCTTACATCTCCAGATTAAGGTTGTGGCTTTCAAAAACTTTGGCTATATTGTTGAATGCACTCCGAACCTCAGTGGCGGCTTTTGGGGGTAGGCAGGATAGGCCGGGCCTACCCAATAATTTTAAGAGCTTTAAAATTGAAAAATATATATTCAAAAATTATGTTAATGCATGTAAATAACTTTTAAATGTACTAAATCACTCAATACATTAGCGTCCGCTAAAACAACTATGTTATTATATTACCACAGAAAGCATCAAATAGTATTCAGGCATTTTAAATATCATTAATAGGCCCGATAGTAACTGGCCGACCCAGCGCACATAAGATCCCCGTACAAAAAGCGTTTGAAGTTAAGCAGTTTGCCGGACAACGATTTATACTGGCGTGTTTATGCTCGCTGTGTAGGCACCAGACGATCGGGCCTAGCGTCGACCATCGTTGTCACTTGTAACGTAATTATCGAATTGTTAATAAACCGCCACAATTTGGTTCGCGACGAGCAACGAACGAACAGTTCGCGAGCAGTTTTGTCTGCCGTACAAATTAACGAATATTGTGTTCGCGAACCGTATGCATACCGTTCGGCTCGCATATGTGTACCGAGCTTATATAAATTTTCTTTTAAATTATGATAAAAAAATATGTAACATAATCTATAATTGTAACATATTTTTAAACAAACAACACAATTGCAAACAAGTTCACGGTTGCATAAATAAATTTTAAAAAATTCGTAAAATTCGAAAAAAAAAATCACATTTGCATGATTTCTATATTTTCTGATTGTATGAAATTTATATATGGCAACACTGGCATTAGTTCAATTTTCACTGTTATCTGTTATTACTAGTTGCACTAGTTGTTTGGTCGATCAAGGTTGATTTTAAAAATTTTTTCTTGGAATAGTGAGATCGTTTTATAACTGATACATAAAAATGAGTTTTTCTGACGCTTTACCAGGTTGCAGTAATAGTAATGTTGATAGTGAGTGTTTGGACATTGTTGTTTCACTATTGGAATTGCCATTATCTAGAAGAACTGAAGTTGATAGAAAAAAAAATATTATGAAAGAAAGGCCTACTCCAACATTGCGTATTGACCAAAAAGATGGGAAAAAGGTGCGTACTTTTAATTGTTCTTGGTATGATGTCTATAAATGGTTGTCTGGAAGTATTACAAAAAATAGACTATATTGTTGGCCGTGTTTGTTATTTTCTAATAAGAAATGTGTATGGAATTGTGAAGGATACTTTGATTTAAAAAATATGTCTGCCTCCTTAAAAAAACATTCCAGTTGCAAGGAACATTTAAGTAATTTCCTGTCCTTTAAGGATGTGCAGAAGAGGGCATTTTCTGTTCGCGATTTGCTAGATGAAAAATCAAAAATCGCAAAAATTAGATACAATGCAGAAGTTAAAATGAACAAAGAAATCATTAAAAAATTAGTTTCTTTAACTTGTACTTTAGCGAAACAGGAACTGGCTTTCCGTGGCCACGACGAATCCGATGATTCCCTAAATCCTGGAAATTTTAAAGCGATTTGGGAATTAATATTAAAATCAACTCCAGAACTAAATGATCACTGGCAGAAAAAAATATATTTCAGAGGTATCTCAAAAACGATACAAAACGAACTAATCGATCTAGTGAAAGACGAAATTCATATTTTTATCGAGAATACCATAAACAACTCCACATTTTTTGCATGCATTGTTGATGAAACAACCGATATTACTGAAAGGGCACAATGTTCAATAGTATGCAGACTAGTGGACACAAAAGACGTTGTTCAAGAATATTTCTTAGGTTTTTTTGATCTCGGGGAAGACCGAAGTGCTCCAGCGTTACGTGACTTACTGTTTAGTATAATCGGTAAATTTGACTGTAAAGCTAAATTAATTGCTCAAACCTACGTTGGAGCTAGTGTTATGTCGGGACAACTTAATGGACTTCAAAAATTAGTGAGAGATTCTGCACCATTGGCAATATTTACCCATTGTTTCGCTCACCGCCTCAACTTAGTTTTACAGCAAAGTTGCTCCAACATTACAACAGTCAAAATATTTTTCTCAACGCTTCAAGGTATACCAGCTTATTTTCACCAATCGTCCAAACGATCCTATTTTTTAAATAAAATACTTGGAAAACGAATTCCCACAAATAGTGAAGTAAGATGGAATTCAAATGCAAAAGTAGTTTATGCTGTGTCACAAGAAAGAAAGAAATTGTTACAAGTCTTTCAGGACATAATGAATTGCCCAGAATCAAATGCAAAATCAATTAGGCAGGCAGATGGTTTTAAACGTAAATTGGAGGACTTGGAATTTGTATTTTTATTAAATGTTTTTAGTGATATATTTCAACAAACTGAGCTCTTATACAACATATTGCAGAAGAAAAATAATGATGTCCAATTGTGTGCCAATTCAGTGTCCAGATGTGTTGCAATGTTAAAGAGCTGGAGAAATGACCTTACATTTTCTAACCATTTTAACATTTCTGTTAGCGAAACACATTCTGAACCCATCTTAAGTCATAGTGAACTTGATATTTTACCTGGTAGTGTATCTAATAACGGAGATCAAAGTTTTTTGGAGAAAGCTAAAACTAAATTTAGAAGGGTCTTTTTTGAGATTTTGGACAATATTATCACTCAATTAGAGCAACGTTTCTCGGATTACGCAAAGTTTCAATTTCTGGAATTGGGCGATAATAAAAGATTCACAGAATATGGCACTAAATTTCCACAAAAAGCTTTGGACTCATTGATGGATACATATGAACCACTTTTTAATAAATCTTTATTAAAAACAGAACTGGAAATGATTTTTTCTGCTATTCATCGTGAAAATTTTCACGATAAGAGTTTGTTAGAACTAATTAAAAGTATGTTTGATAACGAAACCAATGAAATTCTTCCTGAAAGCTATAAGTTATTTTGTTTGTTTGCTACAATACCTGCAACAAGCGCTTCAGTTGAAAGAACGTTCTCCACTTTAAAGCGAATAAAGTCATCTCTTCGAAATACAATGACGCAAAATCGGCTTTCACCACTGGCTACTGTATCAATCCAGAAAGATGTTCTTGCTCGATTAATGGAAACGGGCGACACATTTTATGAACGAGTAATTGACAAATTTGCACAAAGCAAAGAGAGAAGAATAAACCTGCCTAAATAATAAAATGTTTTTGTAATCTACGTGTATATTTTAGTTCATAATTTTATTTATAAACAAATAGTTTACAAATAACCTAATTAAATGTAAGTCTGTTACAGTTACCTTATAATTTTAAGTATTTTTATAAATAAAAATAAATTTATATTTGCATGTATGTAAAAGAAAATCATGGATTTGAGGGTGATTACTTTTTTCTGATGCAAAGTTATTTTTAGTCTTACCTCCAATAGGATAAGTGGATTTTCAAATATTTTTAAGGGGTGGGTCATGACCCCGTGACCCTTCCTCTGGTCCGCCAGTGATTAGACATAGCTATATGTCATTTGCTGGCTTGGCCTACCCAAAATTTTACCACACCAGCCGCCACTGCCGAACCTTCTCTATTCTACATTTTACTTCTTGTGAGCGATCCCATTGTTCGTTTACTATTGTTCCAAGGTAGGTAAACTGTTTTACTAGGTCCACTGGTGTATTCTTGATAAATAGTTGGACGTCTCTAATTTTATTTTTGCTAATGACCATAAATTTAGTTTTTGATATGTTTACTTGTAGTATAAATCTTTCAATTACTTCATTTACTTTGTTTATTAGTTGCTGTAAACTGTCTGCAAAAATAACGGTGTCATCTGCATAGCGGATGTTTTTTAGGTGTTCTCCATTTAAAAGGATTCCATGTTCGCAATTTTCACTTAATATTTCCTCTGTATATAGGTTGAATAATATAGGTGAAAGCATACATCATTGTCTAACGCCTCGCAGAATCTGGATCGCTTCTGTCGGTCATCTCCAAGATTTGTTCTTATTGTGGCTAATTGGTTCCAGTATAAATTTTGTATTATACGCCGGTCTTTATCATCTCTTTGGGCTTTTGTTAGAACATCCATTATTTTTCGGTGTTGAACTGTGTCCAATACTTTTTGGTAGTTCACAAAGCAGATGTAGATATCGCAAGTCATATCTGTGCATCTCTCGTACCTACGCCTGTCATGAATCCAAACTCTGTGTCTTGTTTTTTCTCTTCGCATAGCTTGTATATTCTACGATGTTGAAAATTGAAATTTCGGTTCATAGGATAGGTATAAAATATTAATCTTTAAAAATGGAAATTTTACTACAGAACTACGAAACTGCATACGAAAGCTGCTCTCTTTACCTTTAAAACGCATATTGATTTTTATCCATAGGACACTTCGATCAAAAGATATCGAATTTTTACCGTCGAGCTGATACAAATTTTGTAGAACTTTGATTTCGCGGGCGTAACTGACATTTTGATTTTTTTGTTTTTACCCCACAACGAAGGGGGTTTTGGGGAGAAGCCCGGGATTAAAAGTGGTAAACACATTTTTGCATATTTTTTTGGGGTCTTAAAATTAATATACTCGGCAAAATTCAGGTTGTTCGTATGATTTTTAGGGGTTAACTCTCTGACGTCTGGGCTTTATAAATGTTTTTGTCTTTACCGATGATATTTCCCGAGGTACTTATACCCATTGCAATTTTTAATCGTTTGGTTTTAAAGACAAATACTCAGTATTTCCCCCATTCATAAATATCTGGTTTTTTAAGATTCTTAAAAGAAAAGAATTTTTAATTTTTGACACCCATCACTTAATTTTTATAGCCCTTTTCGATATTTTGCGTTAATTTCGCTTTTTTACTTCCGATATCCAGCACAAGCAATATACGAGGATAGATTGGTATTAAATTAGTCTTTGATAGATGGCGCTACTTGTTACCAAATTGGTTTTGGTGGTATTTGCCATTCATGACATGATGTCTGTCAAAATTTTAAGTTTTAAAAACAATTAGTTTGGTTTTACAGCCGTCAAAAGCAAGCAAATTTGGTGTTTTCGGAGAAATGGAAAAAGTCGGTATCGTTCGCTGATTAAGTTCCTCCATAAAAAGGGTAAAATGAATGTGCAAATCAAAGCCGACCTGGACGAAGTTTATGGTGAGGTGTCACCTTCGTTGGCAACAGTAAAATTATCAAAGTCGATGACATGATTATGGCAGATCGTCGAATTAAGCTCCGCGTGTTAATAGAGGTCCTAAAGATTTCCTACGAATGCGTACACGACATCATTCACCATAATTTGGGCATGAAAAAGCTATCCGCGCGATGGGTGCCGCGTTTGCTGACAATCGATCAAATGCAAAAACGTGTGACCAGTTTAGAGACGCTTTTGGGGATGATACGACGCGATCCGAAGGATTTTTTTTCGCCGATTTATCACGGTTGATGAAACCTGGGTGCATTATTACACACCGGAAACCAAAGAATAGTCAAAAAAGTGGCGCAAACCCGACGAAGGGCCGCCGAAGAAGGCAAAGAGTTCACATTCGGCCGGCAAACTGATGGCGACTGTTTTCTGGGATGCGAAGGGTATCATCCACATCGACTACTTGGAAAAACGAAAAACGATCAATGGTGAGTACTACGCAGCATTATTGAATCGATTCAATGCTGAATTGAGTCGAAAACGCCCCGGTTTGGAACGCAAAAAAGTACTCTTTCACCAAGACAATGCACCGGCTCAACGATCGGCCGTCGCCATGGCAAAATTACACGAATTGAGCTATGAATTGGTTCAACACCTACCGTATTCCCCAGATCTTGCCGCCAGCGATTTTTTCCTGTTTCCAAATTGTTGTTCCTAAAAAAATGGCTAGGAGTACGCCGTTTCGCAACAAATGATGACGTTGTCTCTGAAACTTCGGCCTATTTTGAAGAGCTTGAGCAAAACTGCTATTCGGATGAGATAAAAAAATTTTAACGGCGTCTTACTAAGTGTATCGAGCTAAAAGGGGACTATGTTGAGAAATAAATCGATTTAATTCCAAAAAACTTGTTTTTCTATCAAAGGCTAGTTTTATATCAATCCACCCTCGTATGTGAATATATAAATGCTAGTTTATCAAATACTAGCAAATGTTTTAATACATTTATTAAATGTATTTTCATTTATTTAGGTAGGGTAAGAAAAAGTACCAGAAAACAAGCAGATAACATTTCTTGGCTAGACGATAGTCAAATGCATAAAGTCGGTTATCCGAACCTGCATGCCGGCTACTCAGAGGAAGACAGTCGATACGCTGCTGATGCTCACAATAAAATTGAAATTGCCGGTCGAATCACAAGGCGAAACAATGATGTAAGACTTAGACACGAAATCAAAACTCCAAAATATCTGTATGATTATGGTGTACAAGATGCTTCGAAAAGACGTAAGAGGAATATTGAAAAGGATGTTGAAATCAAAGAAGAGTAAGTTTTTTTTTATTTATTTTTTTCAAATAGTCTATCCGAAATCTCGAATAATTCCTTATTTTTGTTGATCTCAGTTATGTCCAGATGCTTTTGTGAATATTAATTTAATATTGCCTCTGCTTTTCGTTTTATTGGTCCAGATAGATCCTTTTTTCAGTGGTATAATATGTTTAGTTCCTACTTGGACTTGTATAATGGTCACCAAATTAAAGTTCTTATCACGGCTCGAAACGGGATTTTAAAAATTAAATCTGAAACAATTAAAAACATTTTAAATTATTTTGTGAAAGTACTTTTTTATTTTGTTTTTCAACACATTCACTGCCGGAGTGTAATTTAAGTACATAAATTCTTTCAGTGTCTTGAATACGCTATTATTGCGTTATCTGCGTATGACGTACAGAGCTGACTATGCTACCCTGTAATAGTTCGCCGGATCAAGTTAATTTAGTATCATAAAATTTTCTAATGGTTTGTAACAGTCAACAGAGAATCATCTCGTCTAATAAGCTTTGAAGTGTTTTGATGAAATGAAAAGACTGTTAAGATTTGATTTCAGTATATTACCCCCACTATACGCTTATACGTAAGATGGTTGTATTTGGTGACAAGGGACAAATTTTGACAAGTGGATTGAAGTTACAGTATCAAGATGACCTGGCCCTTTGCCGATAAATGCAGTCAATTTAAATGAAATTTGTTTTAACAGGCAAAACGATATCAACATTAATTATAAAATGTTAAACGCCGTCTACACTCTAGATCGAAGTTCTTCGGACGAAGTGTCGAAGTGAAGTTAATCGTGGCGAGGTGACTTTACATACTCGTGAAGTCGAGTAATGTAGTGCGGCGCTTCGTATTCGAACTTCGGTTCCTTTGACTTCAACGCGAAAAACCGACACAGAACGGAAGTAGAACGAGCTGAAGTGAAGTCTCATGAAGTACCTGTCTGCATTCTCGTACTCGCTGATCAACTTCGCGAGTAGTATAGTGACCGCTTTACATAAATCTTGACATTTTCCTTTGTAAATCACAAGACAGATTTAGGGAAGTTTTAATTTACAAACACCAATTGCATTCATTGTAGTCATCAATCCCAATCAATCTTTGGTATTGTTCTGAAGCCATTTTCTTGTGTCAGTTTTAACTAATTACTATTTTAAAGGGAATAAGCCACAATTGAAGGTTAAAGTAAGTTTATGGAAGATTTTGAAACAAATATTATTTCTAAACAAAATTTAAAACCCACAGTATGGTGGGGATATGTAGATGATGTATTCTCAGAATGGCCTCATCGATCAGAGTTGTTGGACGCATCCCTGAATAATATAAACGATAAAGAAGAGACAACAACATTTACCATGGAAAAGGAATATTATAACACACTACCTTTTCTGGATGCTATAATCTCTAAAAACGATACTGGATATGAGACTCAGGTGTATAGAAAACCAACACACACCAACATATTTAAATTTCAAATCAAATCACAATATTAATATTAAAAAGGAATCATTAAATCCTTATACCATAGAGCCAAAATTCTATTTATCTCTCTAATTAAAAACATTTGTTAACATCTGTTTTATTAAAAAATGATTATATTTGATCGTTTATAAATAAGGAATTTTCAACAATCAACTGAATAAAACAGAACAGTTTAGAACAAGATCCTACAGCATATACAAGGAATAATAGAGGAAAATAATAATAATAATAGGAAGTAGAGATAGCCATAAATTCACTCAAAAATAGGAAGTCACCAAGGGTCATCCCAGAAGGAATAACCAACGAGCTTCACGGAGCTCCACCAAAACACGGAGGAGAAAGTATAACCCTAGAGATGACAAAACTTATACAAGAACGCCATAAAGAAAAAGGAGATAAAGAAGACCTCAACAATTATAGAGGTATAAATCTACTGAACACCGCACTTAAACTTACCACAAAAGTCCTAACCAACAAAATCAAACTAACAACTTTATCAGATGAAAACAAGGATTCAGATCCGGAAGATCCTGCGTAGACGCCGTTTTTGTACTAAGACAAATCACAGAAAAGGCCGTCGAGTACAATAAACTAATATATCTATGTTTTATAGACCTGACAAAGGCTTTCGACAGCATCCAAGTCGAAGACGTCTTACACCTACTGTATAAAAGAAACATACCAATCAATATTATACAAACCATAGAAACCATCTACTTCCATAATCGAATACAGGCAAAGATAAATGGAAAGCTAACACAGTGTACATCAGTATAAAACGGAGTCAGACAGGGTGACTCGTTACGCCCATTTCTCTTTAATATAATAATGGACGAAATAATACAAGCAGTACGTAAATGGTTATAGAATGGGGGACAAACAAGTCCCAATATTATGTTATGCAGATGACGCCGCATTAATCGCAGAGATAGAAGACAAGCTCCAAAGATTAACACACATCTTCAATACAACAGCCAAGAAATACAATATGATAATATCAGCAGAAAAAAACCAAATGTATGACATCTAAATACCCACTACGATGTAAAATCGAAATTGATGGAAGATAATAAAGCAGGAAGCAAGGTTTAGTTATCTGGGAATAGATATAACTAGTTACGGAGATATTGAAGAAGAAGTACAATAACAAAGCTTAAAAGCAAGTAAAGCGGCGGGATCTTTTAATGACTAAATCTGGAAGAACAGACAAGACACAAAAACAAGTATCAATAAAGCAGCAATTAGACCTATATTAACATACACGGCAGAAACAAGACCTGACACATCTAAAACGAGACGACTACTAGAAACAACAGAGATGAAAATACTTCGACGAATATCATGGAGAAGTCTGTTGGATAGGGAGAGAAGCGAAAACATAAGAAGAGGATCTCACAAGCATAATACTCTGGTTAGGGATCTCGTGTCATCAGATGTCGCCTCAACCAAGCCCCAGTCGTGTGATGATCACCTGAGAAAAACGATTGGTGGAACTATCAGACCATGGTTGAAGTGTTGGTTTTATTTCAAGTAATTTCCCCTGTTTTTTGTTCCATCTGTTATTCCCTGTTTCAACTATTTTTTGCTGTGGAAATATGATTTGACATCTGTAGCTGTAGATTTTGGATAGATCTCACAGGAAAGCAATGTTTCTGCGATTTAAATTGTGGAATTCTTGTCTAATGAGTTTGGCCACAGGATGGGAATAATAAATTTTAGGGATTATTTCTAGAGAATTTAGTGATTCTGTAATTATTAGGAAGGTAATTTCCGGACTTTTTATAATTGACATATGGATTTATATATGACAATGAGTTCTCCTCTTAAGATAGTATTGGCATCCGCAAGTTTATACTTCATTTCATCCTTTATTACAAAGGCAGATGCTACACAATGTTCCGTCGTGGATCCATCGATGAATAACTATTTGAAGGAGGAGGATTAAGTAAGCGAATCTTGCGGAATGAAACTTAATTATATAAAAAAGTGCGTATTCTTACGGCCAGTAAAAATAACTTTGCAAATTAATTATGTGATTCCACACAAAATAGAACATATTTGGCGTGTAATATGCACTACATGTAACTGTACTACTGTATGATAATAAATCGAGAGTGACAGAAAAATAGAGTGACCCACATTTGGAATATTTTGAAAAATAAAATAAAAAATAAAGAATTAACAAAAATTAAGGTGAATGGCGAAGTAGAGATAATTTCTAGACAAAAATGGAGGTGGGCAGGATGCTTTTCTTGAATAAAGGACGATCGATGGACTCAAAGTTTAATAGAATTGAGACTACGTAAGTAAATATCAGGCGCAAAAACTGGATAACACCGGTGCAGGGAAGATGGTAGGAAGGCTATGTTTAGTATTGCAATACTGTTTTTTCTCAGTCTTTTATCTTTCTTTACCCGTTTTTAAATTTAGTTTTATTTTTTACGTTTTTCCTTGTCTGTATTTTTTTCACATGGGAAACATGTCATTTTAGAACATGCTGCACTTATAAAAACGCATAAAACTTTTTTTAGCTCATTAATTTCTAATTTGAGATATACTTTTTAATGTGTTTTAGATAAAATGATAATTATTTTTGTGTTACAGAATAGCCTCAACCAGGAGGACATCGAACGACAAAGAAAACAAAAAAGCAGAAAATGTTGAAAATAGATTCATGGGCAGATTAAGAAGATCGAAAACTATGAATTATGGCGAAGATAATGACACAGAGGAACCACACGAAGAAGATAAAAAACCCCCGATAAAAGAAGAACCAAACGTTAATGGAAATATTAGTAATATTTTTTTTTTAATTTATTGTTTTTATATTTGTCAGATCGCGTGCGATATTCTCATTTTTTTTTATTTTAGTAACCGTAAAAATAAAACATAATTGTTGATCAATAGAAGATTTTTAAAAATTGAGTACGTTTTTGAAATTAATTCGACAAAAAAATTGTGTTCATTAATTTAATGCAAATGTTGTAGCGGAGGATGAAAAACCAGCTAATGGTAAAACTGAACAATCTTCGGATAGTGAAGAGGGGGATGGGGAGGAGGAAGAAGAAGAAGAAGAGAGGGAAACAAGCCAGATAGAACCAGCCCCTAGACTTCGGACTACCAGAACTCGATCCAGTAGAAATAATAATTTAATACTTAATTCCAATTATCCTTCAAGAAGACGTAACGTAAGGCAAGTTAGAGCTTCACCAGTGGGCGCAATAGGTAAATATCTTTTTCTAGTCGTAATATCATAAAAGTTTATAATACAACCGCCGTCAGTATTAGCAAATTCGCCTTTACTTTAACGTGAAAAGTTGTCAAAAGGTCAAACGTGAATAGAATAGAAACGAAATGTAGTTATCGGGATAATAATTTAAATGTTTAAAATATGCTTCATTACGCTGTGTTTATGTTTACGCCATGTTTATAACGGTGTTTATAACTATCACATAGATTTTATTGCATTCTGGACTCTGCTTCATAGTCCTGAAAATCGAGATGATCTTCTGACGTAATTAAGGGACAGCTTTGGATGAATCTGGACAGCTGAAAATGTTCTAATTTAACATTAATGGAATGGTCCTTTTTTAGATCCTGAATAAATGCAGGAGTTTCTGGAAGATAACGTACGGTCTCAAAACTAATAAAGTGAGTTGTTGGTCGTTTTATAAAATTCCTAAAAAGGTAATGTGACCTTTATTAGAAAACCAGAAAACACATATACAATACAATACAAAACCATTAGGCCAGAAACCTGAAACCCAGAAACCTGAATCCTTGCACATTGTGCCAAAAGTCGTGCACAACGTTCAATCCTGAGACGCCTAGTCTGCTTCCTCAATTGTTGACCAACCTGTATTCGGTACGGAAATCTACCTATGCCTTTAACCAGTCATCGAAGTACTGTTCTTTTTGATACTTAATTACAGGACTACTCGTTCAAGACGCATTTTGGTGACACCAATACCTGATTGAGGACACATCCATTCTCGTTTGTGGAGAGATATTGGCTTCCCAGACTTTCCCTTCCGCTGACGCAATATACTACCCATACGATGAAATTTTGTAACTACATCGTTCCGCGACTAACTTTAAACTCAACCAATATGAACACTTTTTCGTATGCTGCAGTGGCGCACCGAGTGGGGGGTTTTGGTTGGGCACCGATTTTTTTATGCTACCTCCACCAAGCCCTTAAAATTTCTGAGTAACAGTGTCTGAATAGTGCCCTGGGAGGGGGGGTTAACCCCCCGGATGTGCCACTGGTCCACCGCGAGACCCATTGTTACTTCTAAGCACAGAGCACAGCGCTCGTTACACAACTGACAATACATCATACGTTCTGTATATTTTGGTGCATACCCAATATGTACACCACAATACTTAATTTACATCTTTTTAAAACCTCTTGAAAACGACTTATGATATGTTGAAGGGAAAATGACGAAAGCACTGTTCGCTGATGTAGAATAGGAATATGCAGGTTTACCGGAAAGCATTTGCATTTACAAAAAAATTACGCAATGTTTTTCTTGTAGATACCAGTTCAGAATCCGAAGAAGAAGGAAGAAAATATTTGCTAAGAGACAGAAGACCTAAACAGGCTCCCAAAGCAAGTAAGTTAATCTGCTTATATTTAATAAAAATTTCGGAATTGCATTAAAGACAACTCCATGCATTTATTTTTCAATACCCGATGATCCTTTTTTTGTTTCTGTTCCATCAGAAACAAACGTATTGATAACATTTTGTGATATATTTAATTTATTTATTGCTAATTGAATATGTGATCAAATGTAATTGCGGCATCACATTTCTATAAATTTATACGAAATTTGTTTACACACATTACTTCTCTTGTCTATGGTTCAGAACCCCTCCTCATTTTTTTATCCATATGTTTATGCCAACGTTCCAGGAAACGCTACTGTCCATTCGACTAATGAGTTCAGAAAACAAAGATTACTAAAGATTTTTAAATTATGCTAGACACCCATGCTTTCAAGGCGTTTCTAGATTGAAACGTTTCATATTTTCGTTATAAAGGGATCGGGGGAAAACAACAAGTAAGAAACTATGTACCATACCTAACAAACTTAAGACGAGTATGAAAGAACCTTATGAATACATCAGCAGAGTTTATTTATGTTTTGTGAGGTCTTTGGTGAATTTCAAGTCACGTCGAAGTGATATTGGGTATATACAAGGTTTCTAGTATTCCCCTAGTTCTAGTTTCTAGTACAAAATATCATTTCTAAACAAAATTTCAAACCCATAGTATGGTGGAGGTATGTAGATGATGTATTCTCAATATGGCCTCATGGATCAGAGTTGTTGGACACATTCCTAAATGATATAAACGATAAAGAAGAGACAATTACATTTACCATGGAAAAGGAATGTAATAACACGCTACCTTTCCTGGATGTTTTAATCTCTAAGAACGATACTGGATATGAGACTCAGGTGTATAGAAAACCAACACACACCAATAGATATTTAAATTTCAAATCAAATCATAATATTAATGTAAAAAAGAATAGTTAAATCCTTATACGATAGAGCCAAAATTTCTTGTTCTAACGAAAATTCGTTCTTGGAGGAGAAACATTTGTTAACTTCTGTTTTATTAAAAAATGATTATCCTTTATCGTTTATAAATAAGGAATTTTCAACAATCGATCGAATAGAACAGAACAACTTAGAACGAGATCCTACAGCATACGCAAGGAATAATATGAGGAAAATAACAATACCGTACATAAAAGGACTATCAGAAAAACTTAAAAGGATAGGAAATTAAATCAAACATTCAAAACAACAAACACGTTGAGATCTATTTTGTCCAAAACCAAACCTAACAATGAACAAGAAAGGACAAAGAATTGCATTTATAAAATAACTTGTGAATGCGATCAGTTTTATTTAGGTGAAACATCAAGGCCATTAAATGTTAGAATAAGTGAATATCAATCTTATATTAAAAATAGGGAATTTGATAGATCTCAAATCTGTAAACACGCATGGGATAATGAACATAGGGTTCAATGGAATAATTCAAATGTAGTCCTAAAAGAAACGGATGGTAAAAAAAGAAAAATCAAAGAAGCGGCTCTAATTATGCTGAATGAGGCCAATTGTGTCGCAAATTCCTTGGCAGAATGTAGTAGGATCTGGTTACCAATATTGAAAGAGGAAGTTATTAATAAGAAAATACCAGTATTAGTAAGTCAGTAACATATAGAGGATACATCATTTATGTTTTTTAAATAACGTAACATATAAAATCAGAATTTTGATGTGTGTTGAAGGTAAACTAAATTCACGAACAAATACTTGCAATGTCGGGATAGTATTATGAGGTTTTTTTCCTGGTTTTTCCCTCATAATTTACTATGGAATCACTAACAGGAGAATTTTACTGTCATCATATCATGTGTTTGTCTTTTTAAAGACGAATTATATGCTATGATTTTTGTCTGACGGATATTCTCAAGTTAAAGTTGATTTCATGTAATCGAATGAACTATCTTATAAGTAAAGTCGTCCCAGGAGCGCAACTCAACAATATTGGCAATATCATTTTAAAGTCGTCTACTTTAAAATGCATAATGTATGTCTGAATTGTCAATATAAATGAGTCAGATAAAATTAAATTATTAGAAGAATTTTTCACTATGTAACAAAAAACAAAATTTGTTTAATTTACTGTTTGTATTTTGAGAACGATTTCCGAAGTGGAAATTGAAACGTCAATAAACGTATTTTTATCTTTAATTGTGGCTTATTCCCAGTTTAGTAGTAATTAATTCAACATTCTTGCCTTTCTGTCTCGATCAAGCACGGATAAGTTTAAAAGTTGATCGCAATTTTGTAAATAGTGATTGCTTCAGCATATGATGCATGATCGGCTATCAATCGAATTGTCAATTGTGAGAAAATCCATAGAACTTTTTCGTTTTTCCGTCTGATCATTTCTTAATCCTTTCAAACGTATAAGCCTTTAAAAAAGATTTTATATTGCATTTTAAATTCGGTTCATTTAAACCAGCCTTCACATTCCCTTAAAGTAACACTGTCCAATTTGGAGGTTATTAAGTAAAGTAAACGTGTGTCATAGTGCGAGAAAGGTTGGTTTAAGTGATAAAGAGATCTGATATTTTTAGAAAAATCATCAATAAGTCTTCTCCAACCACTTACAAATTCTTTACTTACCGATTCACTAATAAATAATGCCTTAACATAATTAACATACATCACTTAGATTTAGAGATCTTCATACATATGTATGTAGATCTCTAAAAAATAAAGCACCGGGTCCAGGTAACATTCCTGCTAGTTAATTAAACACGGTACAACCAAACTATATATAAGTTTAGCCAAGCTGTTCCAAAACTGCATTAATAGAATGACAACCCCAGAGGAGTGGAAGACATCATTCATATCCAGTGTACACAAAAAAAGGCAGAAGGAATGAATGTGACAATTACAGAGGCATTGCCGTGACAAACTCGGTCAGTAGAATATACGAAAAAGTAATTAAAAACAGAATAGAAAGCGAATATAAAGACTTAGAGGCTGAGGAACAGACAAGATTTAGGACAGGTAGATCTACTGTTGACCATTTGTTTTGCATTACACAGATTATTGAAAAGAAAATAGCCGCTAATCAAGAAGTACATTTATTGTATGTAGACCTACGAAAGGCTTATGATAGCGTACCCTATTATAAATTATGGGAAGCGTTAGAGAAAACAAAGATAAGCATGAATTTAATAAATGCGACGAAGGAACTGTACGCTAATGCTAACTGAAAGGTAAAGGTTGGAAATAATCTGTCAAGTAGATTCCAAATGAATAAAGGCCTTAAGCAGGGCTGCTCTCCCCGACATTATTTAAATATTATCTAGAACAGGCTCTAAAACTGTGGAAGCGCAAATGTAGAAATATGGAAATGCCGGTTAACAACAATAGCATATACACTTTGTTATTTGCAGATGATCAACTAGTGATAGCACAAGCTTATTAAGATGTTGAGTATATGACTCGAAAATAATCGAGGAGTATAAGAAATGGGGACTTGAAATCAATATCCAAAATACCGAGTATATGTGTATCGGCGGGAAACAACAGGATCTCATATTGGAAGATGGAGAAGTTATCAAACATTGTAACATTGTAAATATTTAGGTATGATCATCACAAAAGAAGGCACCGTAGACGACACAATTGAGGAGAAAAACAACCAAGCAAAAAAAGCAATTTCCCTTCTCAATACTATCCTTTGGGATCAATCAATCTCTAATAATAACAAGCACAAGATATATAATACAATCTACAGTAGTGAAGTATGGCAAATAAAGGAAAGGTACAAGAGAAAACTTGAGGCAACGGAAATGGATTTCTGGAGACCTTCAGCTGGAAAATCTAGACTAGAAAGAGTAACGAACAACAGAATAAGAGGAATTATGAAAGTAAAACATACAATAGTAGACGGTATTGGTACCCAACAACTCAGATGGTACGGTCATGTACCGAGAATTTCTGAAGAACGTCTCCCAAAACAAGTCTTAATGTGGACTTCTCACGGTAGAACAAAGAGGAAGACCCCACCTTAGTTGGAGAGAAGGCATCAATAAAGAAACGAATGAGAGAGACATAGAAGAAGACTTATGGATGAATCGAGAGGAGTGGCAACTAGGTATCGAACAATTATGAATTATAATTTTTTATAATCACATCGTTCTAAAAATGCATTCCAAGCAACAGTATAGTTTGCAGAATACATTTCAAGACATTTAATTACCAAAGAAGCATCTTAAGATGCTCTTAAATAATGCAATATTTGTATGTCACTTACTAAATCATTTTCTTGAATTAACGACATAATTACGTCCCTGAATTAAAGCCCATTTGGGTATGATCCATCAAATTTAGGTAAATTAATTGTTGTATTTAAAACTACACCTTATTTGCAGCCTCAACATTTAAACTTTGATTGCTATGAGAACTGTCATGAATGTCCTTGTTTAATTAAAAATTATTTTGCAATGGAAACCTGATCATAAATTTCACCATCGAATTTATTTCGTACTTCAAATTCGTCCTTTAGTAATTCCTCGGCAACCATAGATTCAATTGCCCCTTGTATATAAATGAATTCTCTCTTTATTTCCAGAATTAAGCTTTTCATCAATCTTAATTAAGTCTGTACTCATAACTATTTCCTTTGTACCTTAGCGTCCATTTTGATTTAGCAAAATATAATTAATTTAATTGATTAAGTAGTAATCAATCAAAAGATATCCAAACAATTTAAAAATCAACAACAATGTATATGTATGCAATGTTAGATAATGAAATATTACTCACAGAGCATTCCAAATTCGTTACCTGTTTTCGTCGAAAGAACCTGTTAATAAAATTCCACTGGACATAATATCGATAAAAATGCCGTGTTTTAACAATAGCTTCTAATCGGTAACGGGAAAAACTTGTATTTCAATCAATCAATATTCTTTATTTCATCTGACTTTTACAAGTATTGAAATACAATCTAAAAAACTATGGGTACATAGGTAGTAAAAAAAGTTAAAACCATAAGTCCATAAAACATAAAATATACACAAAAACATACAAATTGTTAAAAAGATGCCTGCAAGTATTCCTCTGACGAATAGAAAGTGTTTGCCAGAAGTAAGTCCTTAACTGTTCTCTTAAATACATAAATATTTGACTCTTTAACATAATTAGTTAATTTATTATACAAACTAACGCATGTTGAGTAAGGACCCTTGCCCACAACAGTCAAGTGACGAGCAGGGGTCACCAAATCATTTCTGTAACGAAAATTGTAGCCACTCATTAAGGAAACATCATTTCTGCAAATAAAATTACATCTATGTGACTTTACATAAATAACACCACTGAAAATATGGAGAGAAATTACAGTTCAAATATTTAATTGTTTAAAAACTGGTCTACAGAAATGCAAGCGCCTTCTAAACGTCATGGTACGAATAATTTTTTTTTGAAGAACAAGCACCCCATTAATTCGCGAGCAATTTCCCCAACAAACTAAGCAATATTGCAAAATTGATTGTACATGAGCAAAATAGTAAAGTTTCAAGATATCTAGGGAGACAAAATTTCTAAGTTGCCTTAGAACATAACAGTGTACAGAAAATCTTCCCACTACAGAATTAACGTGAGAACTCCAAGACAAATTTGAATCCAGGTAATCGATCCAGACGAAGATTCGAACAGAAAATGGGAAACATTTAAAAACATAATGCTGAATCCAACGAAGGAGATTCTAAAAGGAAAGAAAAATAATAACACAACAAAGTCATGGATTAATGATGAGATACTGCAATTGATGGAAAAGAGAAGATTGTACAAGAACGTAGACATCGAAAAATATAAAGACATATATGGTGTAATTAGAAAGAAAATAAGAGAAGCCAAAGAAAAATGGTACTCAAACAAGTGTGAGGAAATAGAAGTACTATTGGAAAGGCATGATGACTTTAATCTACATAGGAAGGTAAAAGAACTGGCCGGCATCAGAAAAACAAACCACAGTAGTGTTCTATTAGATGAAAAAGGTAAAATTATCCTTGATAACAACAAGAAAATAGAAAGATGGAAACAATACATACAGGAATTATTTAAAGATGAGAGACAACCAGAAAACATAGAACTATACAACAGTAGAGAAACATGGCCCAGTATAACAAAAGAAGAAGTCATGCATGCAGTAAAATTGGCAAAAGATAATAAAGCTACAGGTCCTGATGAGATACCAGCGGAAATTATAAAATTAATCGCAGAAGATCAAATAGATATACTAAAAGACTTGTACAACACCATATATGATACAGGCGTCATTCCAAAAGAATGGCTTAAGTCGACGTTCGTGACTCTACCGAAAAAAGCTAACGCTAGAGAATGCTGTGACCATCGAACCATCAGCTTAATGAGCCACACTCTAAAGATATTCTTGAAAATTATACATCAAAGAATTTTCAGAAAACTGGAGCAAGATATTAGTAACACGCAGTTTGGCTTCAGAAACGCAATGGGTACAAGAGAGGCCTTGTTTGCCCTGAATGTATTGGCCCAAAGATGTATGGATGTTAACCAACCTCTTTATGTCTGTTTCCTTGATTACAATAAGGCATTTGACAAAGTCAGACATAATCGCCTCCTACAGCTACTTCAAGATAAAAATCTGGATATGAAAGATATTAGAATAATATCAAACCTTTACTTTAATCAAGTTGCATCTGTAAAGGTTGGCAACGAACTATCAGAAGAAATAGAAATACAACGAGGGGTAAGGCAGGGATGCATATTGTCTCCGCTGCTTTTTAACCTCTATTCAGAAGAGGTAGTTCAGAAGGCACTAAAGGAAACATCAAGTGGAATTAAAGTCAACGGAGAACTTATAAATAACATCAGATACGCCGATGATACTTTAGTAATCGCAGAGTCAGTTGAAGAATTGCAGGTTCTGATAAATAAGATTGTAGACAGTAGCGAAGAGGCTGGACTTACTTTAAATATCAAAAAGACGAAATTCATGACCATCGCAAAGACACAACAACAGGACACGTTATGGATTAGGGACGAACTCGTTCAAAAGGTGAACAGATATACATACTTGGGAACAATCATAACCGAAAACAACGATTACACACAGGAAATCAAATCACGTATAGGAAAAGCCCGATCAACATTCAATACTATGAGAAAAGTACTTTGCAGCAATGATCTGAGTCTGCAACTTAAAGTACGAATGCTTAGATGTTATGTATTTTCTGTGTTATTATATGGAATGGAGGCTTGGACGCTTAAAAAAGATATAAGTAACAGAATAGAAGCGTTTGAGATGTGGGCTTATAGAAGAATTTTAAAAATAAGTTGGATCGATAAGGTTACGAACAACGACGTTTTAAAAAGAATGAACAAGGAAAAGGAGATATTAAATACAATTAAAATAAGAAAATTGCAGTATCTGGGTCATGTCATGAGAGGTGAGAGATATGAGTTGCTGCAGATCATTATACAGGGAAAGATACTGGGCAGAAGAAGCATAGGCCGACGACGTGTATCCTGGCTAAACAATTTGAGGCAGTGGTACAATTGTAACTCTGTTGAGCTGTTTAGAGCAGCAGTGTCAAAGGTGAAGATAGCCGTGATGATAGCCAACCTTCTTAAAGGAGACGGCACTTAAAGAAGAAGAAGAAACACCTAACAACTTTGTGGAGTGGCTATTTACCACAGACCCATTGTCAAGCTTTACTAATGGACTCATCTGCATAGTAGAAGGTGAAAAGGTTACCATATTGGTCTTTGATCCATTTAAGATTAGGGCATTATTTAAACAGTAATGAGCCATAATTTTACAAGACAGTTTGCTTTTTGTACTACATGAAAAAAATTATTGGAATTTAGTGCAACTGTGGTATCGTCAGTAAATTGAGTGACGTAACAGCCTGATTGCTGTTCCAACTTTTCTCCTCGAACGCTTATTGCATCAGAAAAATTATCTAATGGATTCCGAACCAAACATGTTGTGCTATCGTTTATCAGTTGATTTAAATCATTGACGAAAATCAAAAATAAAAGAGGGCCAATAATACTTCCCTGTGGAACTCCGGAGAGGACACTTTCTTCTGACGAAAAATATTATATTCCCATTCACATTGACCTTAATTTTTTGAAACCTTTTCGATAAAAAGGTTTGGATCCACTTTAACGTAGTTCCTCTAACACCACTATGATAAAGTTTTTCCAGCAGTATTGGATGATTTACATTTTCAAAAGCTCGTGCTAAGTCAAAAAACAAACACATAACTTTATTTCCCTTATCAAAGTTCGATAAAATATGATTGCACAGCGCTAGTAGTGCATCTTGCACACTTATTTATTATTCTTTAATCACTAAAATCTTCTAACCACACTCTGCTCCATTTATGTTGTAAAATTAATCGAAGAACTTTTTAGAAGACAGTGATTGTTAAATAAACTTTATTTCCAACTGGTGTATACACATAAAACAAATATTAACATAAAAATTAATGAAAGGCGTTTTGTCTTGTCTTCGTTCCTTGGCTTCTTCCCACTGGCAGGTGCTCCGCTCCAAATAATTCGGCGCACAATTTTGTCACTTAGTTTCTTAGTTCGTGGATTCCAAATAGCTTAGTTCTAGCTACTGTATTGTCATTTGATAAACTAAAGAAGATACATTCAATATTACAATAATATAAAAAATCCTGGAAATTTGCATACCTTAATTAAGTCGCTTTTTGTCACTTGATCTTCCTCTATTTTGTTTATTAAATATTGAATCAACAATCGTATTAACTTACTTTATTTTAGTGCAACAGTCAGTCCTGAGAACAAGAGACATAAGAACTAGAGACATAAGAACTAGAGACCTACGAACACGTGACATGAGACCAAGAATGTTTAGACCCAGAATCCGGGAAGTATCTTCCAGTTCTAGTGATTCATCTTCATCAGATGTTCGACGTGGGTATGTATAATAAATAGCTCTCTAATTATTATTTCGGAAATTTTCTACACTAGACCACTATTGTTTTAATGGGTAACCCTTTTAAGTAAATACAATCTGGTGGTCCTCTAGGATGGCGACAATGCGAAGTGCTGACGTCCTCACTCAGTTATGGCGATCAATTTTATACGTCTACGTCAAATATGTTTCAAACAATCACACGCGTACTGAGTCGAATGGCACACTTATTTGTTTTATTGCCCTTGATTAGAACGTTTGAAAAAAGTGTCCTTGCGTTAAAAACATACTTAAAATACGCGCGTAAATATATAACACTGTAACTACCACCTCGGCTGCACAGTGGAGAGGTCTGTAACCTATAAGGAAGTTATTATAGCAAGTTTTTCGCTCGTTTGTTCATGGGTTTGAATCCACCCAGCACTGGACTATCTATCTATTGAAATGAAAGAAAGAGAAATTCCGTGCCCATTGATCGGTACTCCGAGGTACTGCAGTTGTTTGGATATAAATGGATGCTTTTTAAAGACAGTGAAGCCTTTGCATAGTTACAAGGCATTTATTCAACACATACACACAAGCGCGCGCATACGTGCGCTACACAAACAATTTCTCAATGTGTTGTGATACATAGAGGTTTCTAAAATATCTTATGTGTGATCCTATACTAGAATATGCAATATCTTTTTATAGACATAGCAAGCTTTTCTAGTTGGACAAATTAAACTTACGTATCGTGTAACTTACGGACTTACGGTATAACTTCTTACAAATCAAGAACTATAAGAAACTTCATTAATAAACTAGAGAAGAACCTCAGAAGAAGAAATAGAAGAACTTCAAGAACTGTAAGAACTTTTTCTTTCCACTATTTAACATGTTCATCCAACAAGTTTTATTGTTATGCAGATAATAGTTATTACATATATAATATAGTTATTAAACGTACATACATGCGAATTTATTTCAGAAAATTTATTCACTTGTAATGATATTCAAGATCTTAATTTAACATACAGGTTTAAAAAAATATGGTGGTTATTACAAAATCAGCGAAATATCTAACAAGATACTTTATGTTTTCACTTAATAGACAAATATCACAATCTTACTTCCCCCTAGTCGCCCCTCCACATTGTGCATGAACGTCCATCATCACAGCGTTTAGGTCGCGGCATATTATCTGTACGTATAATTTCCGGCAGGTAGCGTTTCCAGTCCAGCAATCGGACTGCGCGTTCACATTTTCCTACATAGAACGTTTCAGTTTGATGCGGTGAGGATGTGTTCTTGCTTTTTCAAACATTTTCTTTTTTATTTGCATCATGATAGCATTTATCATTGTAGTTATATAAAATTTCTTCACCGCGTACGAGTTCAATTAATTTTTTGAAATCCATTTTAACTTATACTATCAAACTGTAAATATCAAAACAAAGAGTATTAAAAAAAAAGAGAGGAAGTATCACTTCCGTGCAAAAGTCCTAACTGTTTATTACTACCGTGTTTAATTATCACAAAGCAATGAAAACACATGCATAAATGACAAAATAGCCTCCAAAATTATTTTTTTAAATACTCTGTATCAAAATCAAACAAATACCTAAATAAACAACGAGGGGAAAACGACGGACTCCTAATTCACATTATCCGTACCAACAGGTTTCTACTCGTTCCGTAGCGGTCTACATCTGTAAAATATTGTTTTCGAATATACTGAACGGAAACGTAAGGTGTCTGATACGATACGTTCTTGACAGTGGGAATTGTTCATATTTAAAAGTTTTTCGGAAACTAAACGCTACGGGCCAATAAGTCTACTTTAACATATTTATAAACTATTTACAAAAATAATTACGAAACGAGTAGAAAATAAATTGGAATTTTATCAGCCCATGGAACAGGCGGGTTTTAGAAAAGGCTATGGAACAAACGATCACCTCCTGGTAATAAAAAATCTTATAGAAAAATGCACTGAATATGATAAACCACTAGTTTTAATATTTGTCGACTATGAAAAGGCATTCGACACCGTAAATCAACAAAAAATGTTGGAAGCCTTGACAGAATGCCGAATTGACTATCGGTATATAAATATAATTAAACACATATACCAAAACGCAACAGCCAGTGTTAGAGTGGGTGATCGTCAAACCCAGAAATCCCCGATACAACGTGGAGTACGCCAGGGGGACACCATATCGCCGAAACTGTTCACTACGCTTTTGGAATATATTTGCATTTGGAATATCCTATCAGCTATTCGTACAATATCATCTGCAAACACTAAGGTTTGCGGATGACATTGTACTAATAGCTGATAGGATAGATGAGGCCAAAGAACTTTTAAATCAGCTCTACATTTCCTCGCTAGAAGGAGGATTGAAAATAAATATATCTAAAACCCAGATGATGACAAATCTTGTAGTCAGCGAAGATATATGCGTAGAAAGAAGATCCATAGACCAGGTAATGGCCTATAAATACCTAGGTCATGAGATCCGCATAGGAAAAGATAACCAAACCGTTGAGCTTCTCCGTCATATAAGACTGACTTGGGCAGCCTTCGGCAAGCTCAACCATATTTTCCAATCGTCTAATATACCAATATGCCTTAAACGAAAAACCGTTAATCAGTGTGTTTTTCCAGTGTTGACTTACGGTGCGGAAAAGGAGAGCAGTTCAAAAGATCCTTGTGTGTCAAAGGGCGTTGGAGCGTGCTATGTTGGGATTTTAATAAATTTTTTGTGATACATGGTATACAGCCAGCTACAGGAACTTAGTTTCCTTGTTGGTATTAGAATAATAATGGAGAAAAAATGCAATATTTTGACTGTAAATAAAAGTGGCGAAAATAGCAAATATTTGTCAATGGATATGTAAAATAAAATGTAATTCAAATAATAATTGTCAGATTTAATAACTTATTGTCAGTTCTGTATGAGATTCACTTACCTTTTGTCTGTGGTTGGGCCCGCTCGGAGTCTAAGGGTAAACAGGGACGCACACTTGATGCTGGTTTGATGCTTGCTTTCACGACGAGAAGTTGCTGCAGAGTGACCGATCATACGTAAGGAAATACGTATGTACGAAAGTCGACTAGGGTGGTTCTTTTTGTTTTTGTTCCTTATGGACTCTGATGTGTTTTGGTGTAATAAATAGCTTCCCAAATACATGACAGCCAATTTGAGTTCGAGAATTTAAAAGATGTGGAACTAAAGCCATATTATAATTAGCCATATATAATTAATATATTATAATTAAATAAAGATTTAAAACTAAATAAGGTCATATTCTGAATAATAATAAATAAAATATTTAAATACGTCTTAAACACTTTTCCAAACATTCTCTGCTCCAAAAAAACGAATGTTTTTAAAAACAACTACAATGATAAGGATAAAAACGAACACTAAACTATTAATATAATAATAATAGAAATGAAGAAAAAAGATAGTTTTTAACAAATAGGTAGTGGGCAGATCTTGACCATCGGACGTTGTAGGATGCCATCTGAAGATGTACTTAGACTAACAACGCGTAAAATACCGTCGGTGCCGCAATGCAACTCGTGATTCGGCCCAATTGCCAACGAAGAGGAGGCTGTTGTTCATTTTTTTATGAGGACTAGAGAAACTTTTAGTGAGAGATGGAGATAGACTATGCCATTTGGATCACTCTTGAAGATAATGAATATACTCTTTAGACCATCTTTTCCAAAAGTCAGTGCCTGCAAGTCATTAGGGTCAGAGCTTGCTGCACACAAAGGACGAGAGTTAAGAACTGCCTCGATTGAGTCATAAGAGTATAGAACTCTTCATAAGTCAAAACTTGTGTACCCAAAACACGATATATATATATATATATATATATATATATATATATATATATATATATATATAATATATATATATATATATATAACTGGTAGGATTATCGACCGAAACGTAAAATAACAATTTATTGTTTTGGAGTATCAGGTATGCGGTCTGTTATTAAAAAAAAACTCTTTTTTTCTTTTATGACTCTATATTTCGCTGATTTTTGTCAGCTTCTTCAGGAGATAACTAAAATATGGTTAAAATTGTATATACATCACAGGTGATAATAAACAATGAATTTACTTACAGATTAAGAGTTAAAATATTTAAAAATCTTGAACATAATATATTCAAAACAGTACTGACAGTATTAGTCCAAAGCATCTAGTCACTAGTAATTAAATATAACAAAAAATATAATAAATAGGAAACAAAAACAAACAAGAAACAATAAAAACACAATAAAATTACACATTAAAAATATACAGGGTGATTTAAAATATAATTGTAAAAAGAAAAATTATTTGAACATACTAAGAATATTACAGTAGATGTTGCTCAACTGTCCCGTATCTGCCTTATAATTAACTGCATATTTTTCTTTATTAATGTGACACATTTCTAAAAACAATCTTTTTTTGTAATTGTTCTCTTGTTGTAGAACCCTGACATTTGAGTAGTCAAATTGATGCCCAGTTTTTAGGTAATGGTCAACTGCCGCACATGTATTCTTCTTTTTTGTGCAGTCACTTTTGTGTTGTGTGACCCAAGTGACTGCACAAAAAAGAAGAATACATGTGCGGCAGTTGACCATTACCTAAAAACTGGGCATCAATTTGACTACTCAAATGTCAGGGTTCTACAACAAGAGAACAATTACAAAAAAAGATTGTTTTTAGAAATGTGTCACATTAATAAAGAAAAATATGCAGTTAATTATAAGGCAGATACGGGACAGTTGAGCAACATCTACTGTAATATTCTTAGTATGTTCAAATAATTTTTCTTTTTACAATTATATTTTAAATCACCCTGTATATTTTCAATGTGTAATTTTATTGTGTTTTTATTGTTTCTTGTTTGTTTTTGTTTCCTATTTATTATATTTTTTGTTATATTTAATTACTAGTGACTAGATGCTTTGGACTAATACTGTCAGTACTGTTTTGAATATATTATGTTCAAGATTTTTAATATTTTAACTCTTAATCTGTAAGTAAATTCATTGTTTATTATCACCTGTGATGTATATACAATTTTAACCATATTTTAGTTATCTCCTGAAGAAGCTGACAAAAATCAGCGAAATATAGAGTCATAAAAGAAAAAAAGAGTTTTTTTTTTAATAACAGACCGCATACCTGATACTCCAAAACAATAAATTGTTATATATATATATATATATATATATATATATATATATATATATATATATATATATATATGGTTCTTGAATGATTTGACCCTAGCCTCAGCTAACCCATTAAAATGAGGGGCACCGGGCGGATTAAAATTCCAGGTAATAGAAAGACTCTCAGCAGTAGATTGAGCTAGTTTATTGATTTCGTTACTGGTTCCCTTAAAATTGGTACCTTGGTCACTCCTAATGGTTAGGCACTTACCGCGTCAAGATACAAATCTACGAAAGGCAGCTAAAAAGGACTCAGAATTAAGACTTAAAGTTACTTTCAGATGAATGGCCTTTGTGCTCGTACACACGAATACACAAACATATCCTTTGTATGTTTTTGCACCTCTATGTCTGGACAATAATAACGAGAATGGTCCTGCAAAATCCACACAAACAGACAGGAAAGCACGTAACGGAGTAACTCGGACAATTGGCAAGTTTGGCATAAAGGGGTTGTAAGATTAAGGTCGGCATCTAATACAACGAATGCACTTCGACAAACAGCGATGAATAACATTTTTCGGAGACATAATCCAAAAGCGCTGGAGTAATAAATAATGCATAGCCTTTAAACCATGGTGCAGATGCGTTTGATGAGTCCATTTGATGATTAAATCGGTCAGACGATGAGTTTTGGGTAATAGAATGGATGTTTGACATCAAAAGACAACTGAGACTTTTGTAATCGACCTCCTACTCTCAAAAGACCATATTCATCAATAAAGGGTGCGAGTTTACTAAAAGATTTGGGTAACAGAGAGTTTTGTTTAATTTTGAGAAAAATATCCGAAAAAACGTCAGCTTGTACGTGCTTAACAATGTATCGTAACTCAGTTTCCCTGGAATATTTCGTGATATTTCACGTATTATTTTCATCGTATGACGTAAATTCAACTGAATTACTTTCTATATAAACATGATAAGGTCCCATATCGAAGTGTTAATACAGTACTCCCTTTTTATTATTACTTCTTTAATACGTTTGTCAATTACATTTAAAATAACTGAAAATAACTTAAAAATAACTCAATTTGTAACTCAAGATTCTACTATTTTATACGTCAACATATATTCTTGACTATAAACTGTTTATAAACAAAATTTTATTGCAATTTGTCTTTTTAGTACGTTTAAATAAAAAAAAATCGCGAGAAACGTGAAAGCATATGTAAACTTTGTCATTTTTGACGTTTTTTTTTTTAAATTTATTTATCTTTTGCCCTTTTAAATTATGTCTTTTAAAAGCTATGTTTTTTTAGTAAGCCACCTAAAAGTCCCCATCATTCCAAAACTGAACGAATGAAATCTGGGGCTGGAGGGAATTAACAAGATTGTTCCAATTAAACCGGAAACATTGGACAACAGCATAAAGTTTAACAGCATTGGCGGACTGGATAACCATATACAATGTTTAAAAGAAATGATACTTCTTCCCATGATGTACCCAGAAGTTTTTAAGCAGTTTAGCATTCAACCACCAAGGGGTGTACTTTTCCATGGGCCTCCAGGTATGAAAACTAGCAACAATTGTCTTTCAATATTATTTATCTATGAAAAATATTCAATTAAGTATATAGTTAATGAAATATTATTGTATCACCTATTTTTTAGGAACTGGTAAAACATTAATTGCTAGAGCTTTAGCTAATGAATGTAGTTTTGGAAAAAGGAAGGTGTCGTTCTTCCTCAGGAAAGGTGCAGATTTATTAAGTAAATGGATTGGAGAGTCGGAGAAGCAATTACGACAGTTATTTGAGCAGGTAAATATTTATTTGAAGTTAACGTATGGTCCTAAAGTTTTGGGAAAAAGTTCACCTGGTCTGATTGAGAAGCAAAATGCATTTAACAAAGACGGCGATGAAATTGAAATGTCATTAGTTATTGACATTTAATAAACAAAGCAGAATATTTTGGTTTGTGCACTGCAAAATGTCTTATAAAATTGATATTCGTCGAGGTGTTTATAATATGGTTGGGCGAATGTTGAAACGAGATATTGTTAATAATTATCGAGATCAAAACATAAGCAAATCGACAATTTGTCGCACAATAAGAGAATGCGAAGAAGGGATATCATGTATTAACTTGCGTAAAAGTGGCCGACCGCGGATTTTGAACCATATAAGAGAGGCAAGACTGATTGAAGCAGCTAAGAACAAAATATTTTTCATGGTCCATCACGATCAACTTGTTGACGAAATGCACTCACCTTAACGCACGGCAACATTCGGAATTTCTAATTGATCCTCTGTGTACTTGGAGCTTTCCTTTTCCGGTAGATAATATTGTTACTCGATAGGGTCCTGTATACTGTAGTCTTTCCAACATGAAATCTTCTGGCCAGTTTTCGCTGAGACCCCAATTTTGTTCTTAGCTGCTTCAATCAGTCTTGCCTCTCTTATATGGTTCAAAATCCGCGGTCGGCCACTTTTACCCAAGTTAACACATGGTATCCCTTCTTCACATTCTCTGATTGTGCGATAAATTGTCGATTTGCTTATGTTTTGATCTCGATAAATATTAACAATATCTCGTTTCGACATTCGCCCAACCATATTATAAACACCTCGACGAATATCACTTTTATATGACATTTTGCAGAGCACAAACCAAAATATTCTGCTTTGTTTATGAAATGTCAATAACTGATGACATTTCAATTCCATGGCCTTCTTTGTTTAATGCATTTTGCTTCTCAATCAGACCAGGTGAAAGTTTTCCCAAAACTTTAGAACCATACGTTATTACATTACACATTGTATCAATTAAACACAAAAGTAATTTTCAAGGAATGAAGTATAGTTTTTATACATGAAAGATATTAAAAAATAAATTAACTTTTAAAATTTGTTTTAGGCTGCCGAAATGAAACCTTCCATTATATTTTTTGATGAGCTCGATGGACTGGCTCCGGTAAGATCGTCAAGGCAAGATCAAGTCCATGCGAGTATAGTATCAACTTTATTAGCGTTAATGGACGGATTAGCAGATCGAGGGGAAGTAATAGTTATAGGAGCAACGAATAGAATCGATGCTATCGATCCGGCTCTTCGTCGACCTGGCAGATTTGATAGAGAATTACTTTTTACACTGCCATCCAAAACTGTAAGTCTATGTATGTTTAAATATTGTCTGCATATTAATGCAACTTAATACTATATTATCTTTAAGCAGTAGAATTTTGGTTAATTTTTGATTTTATAAAATGTGGCCATTTATAGTCAAGTCAATTTACAAAAATATAATAATTATTAACATTATTGTTTAAATTTTGGTAGATATTCAACTCATACCAATCAAAATTTTTTTTCACTACGAGAAACATACTAAGCACATTTCAATGCACAATGGTCGTAACAGTTTCAACACAATATATCAGGTTGTAGGCAATCTTACAATAAGTTACTACTTTATGAATCTAACAGAATTTAAAATATGTGAATTAAATTTTCTTAAAAATAGGATATTATTTCTTAAAAAAGGGAATTTGAGAAACATAATCAAAATTTTATTGAACCAGTCACAATGAAATCAGAAGAAAACAGCGCCTTTTGCAAGCGGATACTAGGTTCTTCATCACAATAAATCACGATTGTTTTTGGTAAACTTCAACACAACGAGTACAGTTCCGTCGTAACATCCTGCAACTGAGAATCTTAATTTTTGGGACCCCAAAAGATGCAAAAAAGTTCGTCGTTCTTACTCCTGGGCTTTCCCCTAAACCCATCCGCCTCGTAGAGGGGAAAAAACGGACAATATCCAATACCACGAATCTGTACGCCGTATAGATTCTTGCAAAATTCAGTTTGTTGATGCTGAATTTTGAAATGAATCAGTGGCATTTTCTTATCTGATCACTGGAGTAGCGTAAAGATATTTGAAACTACGCGATGTTGGCAGTGAAGGTCATGTGTAAAATTTCATTTCAGAACTGCTTAATTGACTTGCTATGCATTGAAAACCTAGACAGAAGCGCGTTAATTATCTCCATAATTATCCTATCAGGGATAATTATGGAGATCTATGTTTATAACTGTGACATTCATTACATTTTTACTACCCATTACTGTACATATTTTTGCTTCTTATCAAAGAAAATATTTTTATTTTATCAAAACAGCGCTCTTATCTCTCTCTCTCTCCCTCTCCCTCTCTCCCTCTCTCTCTCACCCTCTCTCTCTCTTTCCCTCTTTTCTCTCTCTCTCTCTCTTTCTCTCTTGTTCTCTCATCGCGGTACAGCCCTAATCGAGCGTGGGTTTCCTCATAACTATGCTTCCAATTTTTCGGTCCTGCACCGATCTTCTCCAGATACTTACCTCCCACCTTTTCCGTGGCCTTGTTTTGGTCTTGTGCCCTGCCTTTTATATAGGGCTCTTTTCGAAAATCTTTCGGTCTCCATTCTCACTAAATGACCAGTCTATCGAAGTTAAACGAATTCTGAGATCGGTGTTTCTTTGAATAGTTGGTAGAGTAAATGGTTTTACCTGGATCTCCATGCTCCGTGAGATGAATGAAGCTAATTTATCGTTAAAGTCCCCTTCCTAGCATCTTAAGCTAGGCAATTAATGTTGTGTGGCAAAGAAACGGTTTGAATTATCTGAAAGAATATTGAACAGCTACTTTCTTTAATGATTACAAAAAATTCATCGATGAATATCAAAACTTAAACCATGCTAAATATGTATCTATGTCTCTGCACAATTCTCACTTTCTAAATAAATACTTCTTGCTCCATCACTGAGTTCTAAAAGATTCTGCTAGTACAAAACTTCACGTAGTTTTCGACGGTATCCACTTCTGGTTGCTCCTTTAATGATACTTTACTCACCTGATATCAGGTACAGTCCGATTTGTTTGATATTATTTATCATTTTTGACAATTTGATATCGTTTTTATCGCAGACTTTGAAAAAATGTACGGGCAAATTAATGTCAACTTCGAAAAAACCTTTCTCCGAAATATTCTTTGAATAGACAGCCGAAATGAACGTTTAAAATGCATCGAACTTACTTCTGTTACTTATGAAGTAACTTACTCCAGTTTCTTAGCAACTCGTTGTTTAAACGAAATTGCAAATTTATATAATAAAGGACAATTCCCACTCGGTGCTGACGCTCTCTTTAATCAAACCTGAATTGAAGATATTCTCTTTGGAGCTAAAGCTCTGGGTTTCCAACACAATATAACTCAATTCAGCAAAATATATAAGCCGATCTCCTAAATTATTAACTAAATGTTGAAAATACAAGTAGCAAGATACTAGGTCTTTCCTAGCAGAATAATGAAGACTTTTTTTTAATAAACGAAAATTTCCACCCAGGTGGGATTCGAACTCACGACCTTTAGGTTTAAAGGCAGGCGCTCTTACCACTGAGCCACAGAGGGGGTTTAATAATGAAGACCGCTTTATCATTTTGGTCATAATTTCTTCAGAACACACATCTATACACTAAAAGAATGGCTCTGATATTTTTGTCGAAAATGTTTGTCCCCATTGGTCTTTGTATTCACTGGAATCTTTATATTTACTGGAAAAAAATTTATACACAAATTGTGGCTCCAAAAACTCAATTGGATGATCCTTTGAATGACACTCCCAATCACGAATGAAAAAATTTCGTCTCTGATATTGCGTTACTAAATGATTGCAAAATATCCTGTTATTTCTTTCAAAATAAAAAAATCACAATAGAAATTCAAGGCTTCTATAATATTCAAAACCTCTTTGCTATTTTTATATGCTAAAAAAATGCTATTGTTATCTAGCTTAACTGGGAAAAAATGTAAAAAATAAAATTAATATATTATCACGTATTACTTGTTTGTTCTAATTAAAAACAGGTAAATACAATTTATCCAATTTTAGGAAAGAGAAGAAATACTAAATGTGCATACATCTTCATGGAAAAATCCTCCAAGTAGACAACTTTTAGACTATTTATCGGAAAATACTGTTGGTTATTGTGGTTCAGATTTAAGAGCTCTTTGTTCGGAGGCAGTCATACAGAGTTTCAGACGAACGTATCCGCAAGTTTATAATTCAGAACACAGGCTCATGTTACAGCCAGAAAATGTAAAGGTAAATTTTTCTCGTACTAATATCCCTTTTTTAGCATAATATCGCGAGAGAACACAGTTTCTCTACATCATTGAACTGATATGTAATATAACATATTAATGTTGATTATGGATTTTAGGTAGAAAAAGTGGACTTTATTCGAGCAAAATCCTTATTGGTTCCTGCACAACATAGAATTACTCAAGGATTAGGTAGAAAACTATTCCCGATATTAGAACCTCTTTTACAAGAACCGATAAAAAAATGTTTAGATTTGCTTCAACAAACGTTTCCTCACGGCTTGAGTACTTCATTGGCAAAGTACGTAGATCTTTTTTTTTAATATTCTCTTATTTTGTAAAAAATGTATTTAATTTATTCTGTTGTCTACCAGAAAGTGGGGAGAGCCTCCCCACAAGTATTGCAGGTAGACCTGTGCAGAATACTTCCAGTATTTCTTCTTCTTTAAGTGCCGTCTCCCAATCTGAGGTTGGATATCATCATCACTATCTTTACTTTATCTACTGCTGCTCTAAAGGGTTCTATAGAACTACACTTAAACCAGTCCCTTAAATTCTTCAACCATGACACTCCTTCCTATACTCCTTCCTCCTCTTACCGTTCCCCGTATTATCAGCCTTAGCAGTTTATATCACTGTTCCAGTATTTAATAAATCCAAATAATCTAATTTGGAGCGGACAAGAGCTCTATAGACTCCAATGGACTACCTAAGCATTGACGTCACGATGGACGGAGATTTTAAAAACCTTTAGAAACATTTCTAAAGGTCAATTCAGACTCATCAGTCCCGTCACAGTCTTGGCGCCGAACCGGTCCTGTTTGGTCACAGAACTATTAATTATTTCATCATCATCATCATTGTCTTTTACAACTCTTCATGAGTTTTTGCCGCGTTTACTATTGCCTTCCATTGATTCCGATCCTGTGCTATTATTTCCCATGGCCTTACTTCCATCTTCTCCAGGTCTTCCCTGACTGCGTCTTTCCACCTTTTTCTAGGCCTTCCTGTCGATCTTTTACCATCTGGTCTTTCCCAAAACACATTGCTAATCAGTATGTCGTCATCACTCCGTACCACGTGGCCTGCCCATCTTAATCTATTGGCTTTTATGTATCTTACGATGTTTCCTTTCCCAAAGAGAGTCTCTATTTCATCGTATCTGCTCCTCCATTCATTTGTCACGGTGTCCCTCCAAGGATCATATATAATTCGCAGGATTTTGCGTTCCCATACTAATAGCTTATTGATTTCTTTCTTTCTCAATGTCAATGTTTCACTTCCATATGTCACTGCTGGTCGTATTATGGTTTTGTACATTTGGATTTTGGCACGCCTTGAGAGAAGCTTTGACCTCATTAGATGTTGAATGGCAAAGAATGATTTATTCCCCGCCAGTATTCGTATTTCAACCTCCCGTTCTCCTGTGTTTTCACTGGTAATTGTTGCTCCTAGGTATTTGAATTCTTTGACCACCTCAAAATGTCCAGCTGTCAAATATTAATTATTTGACAGCTGGGAAACTGTTCGTCGCCTGATGAATGTGAATGCCGGCGCCATATTTCTATTAAAGAATATTTTGTATGACGGATTGTTCTGTTCGGCGCCAGGACTGTGATCAGACGTGACTGATGTGTCTGAATCGACCTTAATTTGTTTGTATTTGTCCCATAAGAAGTTGGAAATATTGTTTTTTTTTTTAATTGTTTGAAGAATAAATAAGGACTTTTGGTTATGAACATTCGAACATTCATTCAATTCAGTTCGCTTACAAATTTCTGATGAGTTTTTTTTAATTGTGGGACCTTGTTGATCCCTAAGATGAAAATTATCTGCCTCCGTAAGATACCTTGATCACATGCCACATGCATCTAGTAGCTGTATTTTTGAGGAATCTATATCATCAATTTACCTGTTAAAGAAATTATTCGTTCTTGTACTTTGGATAACTCAACAAGAAGTGCACTTCCTTCTGCTTCCTGTTACATAAAATAAAAAATTATTTCAGTTCTTAGTTTTTGATATCAAAACTGCACAAATATTTCACGAATTACGAAGTTATCGAACAACGTTGTTACTGGATAGAATAGATAGATAGAAGAAAGGTTGCAGTTATTTTTATCGATCTTTACATACTTACTACATTACTTTACAATTATTCCTAGTTCCTTACTTAAACTCTACATACTAAAAAAAAAATACTAATTAATTAGTTTTATTAATGTTAGTATTTAAACTATTACTTTCCATAATAATTTCACCATCCACCAAAGTTATCTTTTTGTTTGGTCACAAGTTTGTGTATGTAATTGTGACTGTAATAATTGTGTACCTTCTTTCGCATCTGAATGCCAAACTATAATAAATATTAAAAAAAAGGCATGCAATTAATGTTCGTTGCACCTAAATTACCCTAATTAAAAATTTTCAGATATTTTGAACCATTAAAAAATCTTTGAATGGTTAAATATAGCTTGATATATACACTGTGTCCGTAAAGTATGGATCAAATTCTTTTTTAGCTAAACAGAAAATTTTAACTTTCTAGTAATGACGTCGCCGTCATTTTTTTTTAATGGAACACCCCCATTTTGTCTCAATTTTCGGATTACTCTAGCTGGACTGATTCCAAAAATGTATCACATGTTGATTCAAATTGGTACAGGGTGGACAAAAATACAATAGTTTTGTGTGTGATCATAAAGTAACGCATTAGTTAATTAACAATATTATCAAAGATACTTATTGTCTAGCGGACAGAATATGATGAAATACATAACTTTATAAATGTTCGAACTGCAGCCCTTGCTGTATTTGACAGTAACAAAAACGTTGTACAAATTCTTGTTGAACCTTGTTTATTGTGTCTTGAGAAATATTGTTTATTGCTGTCCGAGTTCTCTATTGTAATTCTTGACTGTTTGCTGGTTTTGTTTTATACACAACATTCTTCAGATGGTCCCACATAAAATAATCCAAAGGATTAAAATCTGGTGACCTCGCTGGCCATTCAATAGGTCCACGTCTACCAATCCACCTGTTCGGAAAAATTTCATCTAGGTACCTTCTAACATGTACAGCATAATGTGGAGGTGCACCATCCTGTTGCAACCATAAACTTTCATCAAAACCTCCAGGATTACGTCTGTTGGGAAACAAATTACGTGAAGTAGGTACGAGATTAAAAACTCAAGGTACGTTGCCCCGTTTAAATTACCTTCGATAAAGTAGAGTCCGATGATTCGATTTCTTACAATTGCAGCCCATACTTTACCCTTTGCGAGTATTGTGTATTATGCTCACGCATCCAGTGGGGGTTTTCTTTGGCCCAGTATCTACAATTCTGACGGTTAACCTCTCCATTTAACGTGAAAGTGGCCTCATCAGAAAAAATAATGTTTTGTACCAAGAGAGGGTCTCGGTGGCAGTTATCCATCATTGCTTGGCAAAATTGCATTCTTATATAGGGATCATCTTCGTTTAATTCCTGCACAATTTTGATTTTATAATGCTGCCATTTTTCAAGCTTTAATAGTTTGTGTACCGTTGTTTTGCTAACACGGATATCGCGACTAACTTTACGCACAGAAGTTTGCGCATCTTTTTCAAAACTAAGTAAAACATCTAATGCTGTATCAGCATTTGCAGAGGTTTTTCCGTGCATTTTCAACCGTACCAGTTTCTCGAAATTTCTTTTCAATCTTACTGACTGTTGAACGCGTTATAGGTCTTTCTGGATATTTAACATTAAACAAATTGCACACTTCCATCTGAGTTCGCGATCTGTCTCCATACCCAATCATCATAAGTATTTCAATTCTTTGCTTTACACGTAACTCCATTTCTACTTCAAATTAAATCTAAGCATGAATGAAAACATTCACAAATACCAAAAATATTGTAGTACTAAACTGTCACTGAACATCAATAAATTACTAAACAAATAATGACAGTTAACAAAAAAATAGCTTAATATGTTTCTTTTAAATTGGTAAGAAATAATTTCTTTCATATTCTGTCCGCTAGACAATGAACCCAATTGAACCAATACCAATACCAGTTTGAATCAACACGTGATACATTTTTGGAATCAGCTCAGCTAGAGTAATCCGAAAATTGAGACAAAATGGGGTGTTCCATTAAAAAAAAAATGACGGTGACGTCATTACTCGAAAGTAATTCACCATGTATATTAGAATATTATTTTAAAATACGGTAAATTAAAATCAAAAATCGACGTTTTTCAGGATTATTTCTTAAAATGCTCCTTTTAGCTAAAAAGAATTTGTTCCATACTTTACGGACACAGTGTATATTAAAATTAATTATATTTTTAGAGTTAAATTATCTCCCAACTTACGACCGGCACAATTACTTATTACTGGCGATGGACCTGGCCATGGCCCGACGTCCCACATCGCTCCTGCCCTCCTATATAAAATGGAACATATTCATGCCTACATGTTAAATTTGGTAATGCTGTACCAAGAAACCGGTAGATCTTGTGAAGAGGCTTGTATACAGGTAATATAAATTTAAAACCTTTTTAATTTTGATCTATTTATGGAAGTCGCGGTTATTTTATGGAACTTGTTAATAGTTCTTAGCTTGCACCGTGGTGTTTGCTTTTCACAAAGACAAGAAACGAAAATGGGGCATGAGGTCCTCCACCAGCGTCATAATCAGATCCTGGAGGGGTGACTATCAACCTTACTGTCGGTTGGTCGCAATATTTTTAGTATTTGTTTATAGTAAATTGGCAATTATTTTTTTTTCTTTACAGATACTTTAGACATAAGTTATTAGACTGATCTATTTGAGCTCCTAATCGACTTTCTCCATACTTAAGATCATTCGACAAATGTTTCATTTCTTCCAAACTCTTACTTGTTTTAGCTCCCACTTCGTCTATTTTATTTTCCCAGATTTTTCTTGGTCTTTGTTTCCCCATTTTGTAAATTCTTTTAGTTTTAACTTCTTATACTTTTTTGTTCCAAAACCGTTATTTTTCTGTTCCTCCCACATTATTTTCCTTCTTATTTCCGTTTCATCAAACTCTTCTTTATTCTGTGCCGCTCTTAGTAATTGTTGAACGTTCATGCTCGTTTAAGCTCTGATATTGCGAAGAACGTAACATTGTTCTTTATGCCTTCTATCTTCGGTTCAATTATTATTCATAGCATATTTGCCATTTCTCATTATATGGCCTAGATACGAAGTCTGTCTTTCCTTAATCGTTATTCTAAGTTCTAACTCTCTGTATATGGAGTTTTATACCTTTGGATTTGTTAAGTGCTGTGTTCATGACATTCTAAGCATTCTGCGATAAAGCCAAATGTTCAAGCCTTCTAGCAGTCTTATAGCATTTAACGTCCAGGCTTCAATTCCATGCACAAGAACTGACCAAACGTAGCACTGTTGTTACCTACATGCTTTGTTTTTGAATCCCCTATTAAGAATACATCAAGTGCATAGAAAAGGTTGTTTGAGTTTTAATCTTTTATTCCTTACTATTATCCGTTTTTGGATAGTATGCACATTATTTCCTTGTTCTACTCCTTCCACCATTTTTAAGTGGCTTAATCTTAGAGTTTTAAGAGCACGACCCTTCACACTTTTATACAGATTTTTGATAAAATTCATGATTTTTTCCGGCACCTGGAGCTATTGTAGACATTTTCATATATTATCCAAATAACTATGTGCAGCGTTAAAGTCAATAAATGTAAAGATTAGTTCTTTTCTGGTTTTTAGTTTTTCTTCTATGATTACAACACACTGTTAAACATAATATAGAAGTCGGAATCTAAACATAGATTGCAGGATAACTTCGGACGATGTTGGAGATTGGTTCAATAAAATAAAACTCAAGAAAACTCTCAAAATATATTAAACGAATATGGAAGGATAACGGCTTCTGCATTTCACGAATAATAATTATTAATTAACGTATATATGTTAATATTACAAACAATTTTTAGGTATTCATAGAAGCGAGGAAAAATGTACCCAGCATAGTTTATATTCCCAATATAGATACATGGTGGTCACTTGTGTCTGATACCGTACGAGCAATATTTAATTCACAGCTAACATCTTTGGAACCTAATATTCCTCTACTTTTTTTGGCTACAGCAGACAATTCATATGAATCATTACCTGAAGAGGTAGGTACGATTATTTATATGTATAACAATACTTTATGCTTTCATTGCATACATTGCCATATAAAAATATATTTTATAGATCTTTTTCTCAAAAGATTCGTTTTTGCACAAATTTTATGGTTCGTTCACTATTGTCTTGTTCCTTCAGATGGTGGGGTTGCTGTTACCGCGAGTCAAGTCTATTGACGCACTTTCTGAAATCGGAGGTTTTTATGAAAATCAGAGACAGAATTGACTAATTTTAATTTGAACCGTGTTCAAATTCAAAGGTAGACGACCTTAGAGTGGGTCAATTTCACCATTCCGTTACACTGGTAGCTAGTTTCTTCAGAAGCAGGGAAAGCGTTTTGATCACGATAATTCGAGTATCAACGTAACTAGAGGCGAAAACCAACAGTAGGGAAAAGAATTCACGCACAGTAAGTCAAATATTCAACGTATCAAGAGGTTAATTGAGTATTTGAGTTTCTGTGCACGAATCTCTAATCCCACTACTGGTTTTCGCCTTTAGGTAAGTTGTGTGCTAGAGTTCATCATCATTTAACCCGGATCTATCCACAGCTGGATATAGGTCTCCCTCAATCTTTTCCATGTATTTCTGTTTTGTGCTGTTTGCATCCAATTTTTGTCGATCCGTTTTATGTCATCAGACCATCTTGTTGGTGGACGACGTCTACTTCGATGTGCTTCTTGTTTCGGTCTCCACTGTATTATTCGCTGTGTCCATCTGTTATCCGACATTCTAGCTATGTGCCCCGCCCATAGCTAGAATGTCGGATTCTTGTCATGTGTTCCACTTAAGGGTCATAATTCTTTCTATGACATCTGTCACCCCTGTTCTCCGTCTTATTTCCTTGTTCGTGATCCGATCCCTACGAGAAATGCCTAACATCGATCGTTTCATGGCTCTTTGGGTAACACACATTTTATTTCTTACTTTCTTGGTTAGTGTTAATGTCTCTGCACCATATGTAAGTACTGGCAACACGCACTGATTAAAGACTTTTCTTTTAAGACACATAGGCAGTTCTGATTTAAGAACATAGCTCAGCTTGCCGAATGCCACCCAAGTGAGTCCTATACGGCGGCTTAGTTCTCACGTTTGATTATCTCTTCCTATGCGTATCTCATGTCCTAAGTACTTATAAGAGGTGGTTTCTTCAATATGCATGCCATTTACTGAAATCTTTTCGCTTAACACAAGATTTGTCATGATTTGTGTTTTTGTGTGGTTGATTTTTAATCCAACTTGTAGGGAGGCTAGGTATAGTTTCTCCAGTTGCGATACTGCATCATCGATTCTGTCAGCAAAAAGGACAATATCGTCAGCAAACCTCAAATGACTAAACATTTCTCCATTGACATTAATTCCTTTTTCACTCAGATTTGCATTCTTAAACATATGTGCTAGAGTTACCGTGAGCAAAAACATTCTCCTACTCATTACGAAACGTTTAAGTCACCAATTTTCTTCCCCAATTATATTCTCGGTATTTCTGAATATAAGGTTAACTGGGAGTTGTGTGTGTGTTGAGTAATTGCTTTGTTATTAAGTAAAGTCGAGTGCAGTGTCCTTTACAAAGAAGAGTTCGGCTGGATTTAAACTACGCTCAGTAAGTTGACGCTCTGCCGGGTTTCTTAAAACTAATGGTTGCTAAAATATTAACAAAAGGTCAGCTGGAGATTGTGTACAAATCAGTCCAAGACTTTTGGCAGTGGATCCGTTAGAAAGAGAATGTATATAGTTGTAGCCATAAACAACATACACTTGTGTGGAAAGAACTATTTTATCTAATGACAAATATTTTCTTAGGTTCAAAAACTGTTTTCATATTATCGAAAGGAAGTGATAGAAGTTGCAGCTCCTACTGCCGATTTAAGAAGACTTTTCTATAAACCTCTTATAATTGAAAGTAGTTTGAAGCCTGTAAAAAATGCAAGGGAATTACCGAAAACTCCGCCACCTCTTCCTAGGGCACCAACTCCGCCACCATTACCACTTGACGAAAAACAAACCAAAAAATTGTATGAAGAGGAAGAACATACTCTACGGGAACTTAGAATATTTCTAAGGGATATGTGTAAAAAATTAGCGAATAATAGGTTGTAAGTATACAAACTTTTTAGATTGATATATTTATCTAATATTAATGTATATAATGCATAACACTTATTTTAAGTAAATTCATTTTTAACATATCCGTGAGTGTTTGTGTCGCTTTTTGAATATTATAACTGTCAAAACTCTTGAAATCAACTGAAAGTTATTACACTTTACTTATCTAAGCCTTTAAACCATACAAGTGGTCTGTAAACTTATTTTTTTTGGGTTTCCTTCCAGCATCTGATCTCGACAGTATAGGCAGTAGTTAATATGTTACATTCCTGGGAGGTTACCATTCTTCTTTTTAGGGTGCCTGTTCGTTCCGAACGTTGGCGATCATTCTGGCTTTGATGATTTTGTTGGTTGCTATACGAAATAGCGGTGTTGAGGTCTTTCTATCATGCTCTCAGGTTAGCAAGCCAGGATATTCTTCTTCGTCCTGGGGCTCTTTTTCCTTCAATTTTACCCTGCAAAATGCATTGGAGTAGCTCGTATTTGCCCTGATTTCTCATTATATGTCCTAAGTACTCCAGTTTACGGCTCTTCACGATGTTGACCAAACCCGCGGTTGTGTTCATCCTCCGCAGTACTTCTTCATTGGTAACTAACTCTGTCTGTCCATGATATTTTCAGGATTCTTCTGTATAACCACAGCTCAAAAGCCTGAAGTTTTGATAGAGTTTCCGCCTTCAATGTCCACGTTTATACTCCATACAGAAGTGCTGAGAACACGTAACATTTAAGGAGCCTTATTTTTGTTTTCAGGGTGAGGTCATGGCTCTTGAACACATAGCTCATAGGCAAGAATGTACTTTTGGCCTTTCCGATGCGACATTTAATCTCTTGGGTATTGTCCCACGACTCATTGATTATAGTTCCCAAGTAATTGTATTGTGAGACACGTTCAATTTTCATTTGGTTCGCATACAGATTTGCTCCAGTTATGTGTTCCTTGCTGATGATCATTAGCATGGTTGTGCTGGTGTTTATATCCAGTCCATTATGTTCTACTTGTTTTCGTTATTCTGTTCATTAAGTTTTGCAGCCCTTTTATGGTATTGGAGACCACTATTGTATCATCTGCATACCGCAGGTTATTGAGGTTGACTCCATTTATTGAGATGTCTTCATCAATATCTTTTAGGGCCTCTTCAAAAATGTGCTCCGAGTACAGATTGAATATCAGTGGTGAAATTATGCACCGCTGTCTCACTCCCCTTAAGATTTTGACCTGATCTGTGTATTCTCCATCCATTCGGAGTACCGCTGATTGATTTCAATACATATTAGTTATAATTTTTAAGTCTCTTCCATCAATCCCTGTCCTCTTCAGCACTTCCATCATTTGTTTATGCTTGACTCTATCGAAAGCCTTCTTGTAGTCAATCAGGCATGCAAAAACATTACAGCTGACATCTTTACATTTCTGAAACAATATCTACACGCTAAATAAAGCTTTTTTCGTACCAACGGCGTTCACAAATCTAAACTGATTGGGCGCATTTTGTTCCTCGCATTTGCGGTAAATTCTTTTGTGGATGACCTTTAAAAACAGCTTCAGCAGATAGCTCATTAGGCTTATTATCCTATAATATTCACAAACTTTTGCTCCTGGTTTTTTTGTAATGCTCCTTGGGTGTAGCTGAAACCAGGTGTTCATTATTACTAATTGATTTGATTCCCCAAAAATCTCCAATATATCTCCCCGATCATTCCGGTTTTAAAATGGTCCAATTGCAGATGATGTTTTGCTGGTTTTAACTTTGGCGTTTAAATCTCCCATGACAATTGTTAGATCTTGCTTTTTTAACCTTTTCATGACTTGATTAATGCTATGGTATAGTTCTTCTATCTCTTATTCTGTTCCTTCTGTTGTAGGTGCATATACCTGAATTATATTGATGTCGATTGGTCTTGCTTGTAGTTGTATGAGCATCACTCTTGTTGAGATTGATATGAAGTTGTCAACAGATTTTGCCACTTCTTTTGTCAATATAATGCCGACACCTAATTCATGTTTGCCGTTATCTGTTCCAGAATAGTAAACGCGGTGTTACCAACGCATTTCGCTTATTCCCAGAATATTTAATTTCGTGTGTGCCATTTCTTGCACTATGGCATTATTGCATTATGGATTTTACCTTCCTGTGCCATCGTTTTCACGTTCCATGTGCATATTCTGATGTCTTCTTAGCATTGTAATCTTTTTGTTATACTTGTAACTGCTCCTCCCGGAGATCCGATTGAGGAGTTTACTCCGGAATTGAATTTCGCTGCAAGCATAGCCATTTGATTCTACTAGGACTTATCCAGTCTGGATCTTTAATGAGGTGTCTCGTTCCAATCTTTCTTCCTCATCTCTATGCCGTTGACCGCTTCCACGGTTCTTCCGCCTTTGAAGCCAGTTTCCCAACTCCAGGACAAAGGGGTGTCCTACCATTTACTGACTCCTCCGCCCGAAGCTGTTGGCCAGTAAACGGGGAATTGCTTATACCGGCAATCATCAGTGGAATCTGATGATTGCCGTATATTTTCGCCATATCTGGCTACCCATGAGGTTACCATGTTTTTGAATAAATATGTGTCTCTTGGCGAAAAGTGTAAGATCACTGGCTGGCCGGGTTAGCGAATCTTCTTTTTTGTTCATTCTCTGGAGCTGTTCATTCTATTCCCTTTTATGTATTTCTCTCTTTTTGACTTCACTTGGATATGTGAACTTGTCTACTTCTTATAACTTACTTACGCTTTATCCCTTATTTTATTATTTGTATGGTTATTATTTTAAAGATTTTGGCTTTCTCCTTGTTTATTCGGAGTCAGATCAGTGTCGGAGTAATGTGTAAACTTGTCAATTTTTATTTGCATATGATTTCTGTGTTCAGTTAGCAGGCAGATGTTATTCGCAAATTCAAGATCTTCGTTTGGAACTTAATTAATTTTAATATAATTTTTTTTTTTTTTTAAATATATTAAACACATCCTTTTTATCTTTTCCTTCAATACTTCGTCATTTCTTCTACAAAACTCATTTTCGACAACCTTTCGACAATACCTTTTATAAGCTGATAAGGGAATTTAATAATCCTTAATTTTTTAGATTTTTTATGTTCACCAAACCAGTAGATACCGAAGAAGTACCTGATTATACCAACATTATTAAACAACCCATGGATTTAGAAACAATGATGACTAAAGTTGACTTTCATCGCTACGAATGCGCTAAGGATTTTTTAACAGACATCGAATTAATATGTCAAAATGCTTTAGAATATAATCCTGCCAAGTAAGTAACCCCTATAAAACGAATGTTCATACTACGGAGTATTGTGATGAATATACAGGGTGGTGAATCGTCAAACGGGCCATAGGAAATTCTAAATTGTTGAATTCTGCTTCCCTAATTATTTTACATCAAAAGTCATAGGAAACTATTTGTAGAAGACTGACATATGTATTAAAAACAATTGTTAAAATTGTTCTACGAATTAAATGTATTGCAAAATTTTGTAAAAATATAATACATTTTTCAGGCGACTCCATAAAGTCAGGCCACACGAGGTAAAAGAATGTGTATCACATGTTGCATTTCGTCATATTGATGATTCTGATATTTGACAATATTTAAATTGCCAAATTTTTTATTTTGTGACTGATTGCTTAAAAAACAATATACTTAGTTAATTAAAAAATGTATTCATTTGAGGAGAAAGTAGCAATAATAAAAATGTTTTATTTAGGCATAATAAATGAAAAATGTATTATATTTTTACAAAATGTTGTAATACATTTAATTCGTAGAACAATTTTAACATTTGTTTTTAATACATAATTCAGGCCTCTACAAATAGTTTATGATGGCTCTCGATGTAAAATAATTAGGAAAGCAGGAATTGAACAATTTAGAATTTCCCATTGAATTTCCTATGGCCCGTTTCGCGATTCACGACCCGGTAGATGAATGAATTTGCGATTTAAAGATAAATCGATAAAATAGGCATACTGAAAAGTTTATTTTAAGTCACGTTGCAGTGTTTTACTCGCTTTGAATGTGAAATATTTTTACTTCATGAAAACAGGTTAGAGTGATTAAAATTGTAAAAGACTTTGAAATTCAAAACCACAAAAACTACCATCTTTACTTGCAATACACCAGCACATACAGAATGCCAATAATTATATCTTGGATAGTCTATACCTCGGAAACGTCAGGTTTTATCATTCGAAATATTTAACACCGTTATGTTATAACGATTTTGATGTATTTATCTTTTTCATCCCACAGAACATAGCTTGTAGGTATCATGATTTCCATGTCATAGGTAATACCTAACTGGTATAATGCATTTAACGTACAGTAGGTGATCAAATTATTATGATACTTCAAAAAAACTTAATATTTTACTGTTTAATAAAGAATAAAACTACATATGAGTGTCTAATAATGTGAATATAATATAAAAATAGATCATAAACACGTTGTTTTACAAAATTTTAAAATATTTTTTTCTTTGACCTTAAATAACATTTTTTTTTAATATCTTGTGTGACCTCCTTTAGCTTCGATGACAGCTTTGATCCTCCTTGGCATGCTTTGAATGTTTCTCAGGCAGTTTTCTTTTATTTTATCGTTTCTGTGTCAGGTGGCAATGAATCTCTCAATTAACTGCTGCTTATTTGTGACAATTTCCTGGGCAACCCCCCTCTTCATAAGCTCCCATAGATTTTCGATTGGATTGAGGTCTGGGGAATTACCTGGCCACTTCAGTACTTTAATTTTCTTTTTTTCCAGGTACGATGTTACTCTTTTTGCCTTATGGCACGGTGCTGAATCGTGCATAAAGGTAAAATCCTCCGATTCGCCAAACCAGTCTTTGATTTGTGGCATGAGTTTTTTTTCCAGAACTTCAATATACTGATGTTGATTCATCATTCCATTTACAATGTACAGCCCCCCTGTGCCCTTACTGCTGATCACAGACCATACCATAATCTTGAGAGGATGCTTTTCTCGCTCCACTATGCAATCCTTATGATATTTTTCACCCACTCGCCTTCGGACGAAGGCCGACTTATCCATGAGTATCTCCACTGTAGACACATCGGAGAAACAAACCTGTGAATAAAAAAAAACTATAAGATATTTTTTTTTAGGATAAAAACAGTGGTTATAGTGATTTAAACTTTAGTAGTGACGTAATTTACCTTATTCCAATCCTCAATTGTCCAATTTTGGTGGTCTTTGGCCCATTCCAGTCTCTTTTTCATCATTACGATGGTCAACTTTGGTTTTTTGGCAGGGCGACATGATTTGAAACCTTGCTCAGTAAGTCTTCTGCGGACTGTCATGTCAGAAACTGGCATACCAGCTTCACGAATAAGTCCCGTGAGGATTCTTCTTGGCTTCTTTCTATTGTTTACGAATATATCCCTCATTTTTCTTTCGTCTCTGGTGTAGTGGCACGCTTTCGACCACATTTTTGGGCACGCTGGTGAATCAGGGGTTTGTTGGTTTCAATTTTTTTCTTGATATTGCTCACTGTTGATTGCGCTACTTGGCATTGTTGAGCTATCTGACGCTGGGAAAGCTTTGTATTCAATAAAAGTGTCTTTATTTCCACCATTTTAGACACAGGGACGTCTTTAGCCTTACCCATTATGATTTTCTTCTCAAAAATCGAAATGTTTTGAAAATGTCTTTAAAATTAAAACTGATATTCTTTTTTCACTCACAATCACTACTAATAAATTAATAAAACATACTACAAAGATAAAACGATACTAATCTTTCAAAAACAATACAAAAACATACAAATTCAGTTGTAAACTCCAAGCGTAAATTCACCACAATGTGTATGTTGTCACGTAATTTGACACAAATGACAGTTCTAGAGCGGTAAACGTCAAAAAAGTAAGGTTATCAGTGACAAAATATATTGGCATACTTTAATCGTATATCAGCATATAATTTTATTATAAAATTTCTGAACAAATATGAAAAACTTCACTTCAAACTTCAAGAGAGATAGAAATTTTTGTGACTGATCATAATAATTTGATCACCCACTGTATGTAAAAAACATTTCTTAAACATCTTCGTTTTGAGAAAAGCCACTCATCACTAGATTCACTATCATCACTAGAGTTTTCCTCCAAATTAATTATTAATGGATTAACATCTTCATTAATATCTATTTGTATTTCGCTAAACATTTATCGTCTAGTTTCACAACATGATCACACCTGTTTTTCATTCATCTAAGTTGAATTTACTAAACTATAGGTACTTGAAAAGTAGCCGAGCCGACAAATAAAACACAAACGTTTTGGACTAAAATGTTTTTTATTTTAACATAATATCCTTTCAGCTCTATACACTTTTCCAGCGATGTTTAAGTTCGATAACCTTTTTACAAATCTGTCTTGCTCCTCAAAATAGCCATTAAATGCCGATATCACAACTGACCCATTTTTTCTAGTTTTCGAACAGAAAATAATCCTAGGGGCGAAACCTGACATAGGACATATGAGGTAGCAATTCAAACTTTAATTCATGAATTTTGGCCATTGCAATTTCGGATCCGTGAGCTGGTGCATCGTCTTGATAAAAGAACAATTTCTTAGCCAAATGTGATCTTTTTTTCCGTAATTTCTTTGCTTAAACGTTGCAATAAGTTCGTCTAATACTCGTTGTTAATAGTTTTTTTATTTTTCAAGATAGTCAAATAAATTATTCCTTGCGTATTAAAAAAAAATTGACTATATGACATTGCGCGCAGATGACACGGTGTTCGCCTTCTTTGGAACCGGTTCTCCCTTTTAAGCCAATTGTTTTGATTGCTCAAAGTACACATATACATACTTACGCCTTGACTTTGCCATTAAGTTTGCAGCATACCTAGGTACCTGCTTGTTTGTTAGAATTTTAATATTATTTCATGTTCTTTCCAAAAATGCTTATACAGGGCGGACAAAAAAAATTATGGCCACATTAATGAAGCAATGTTATAGTAGGTGGCGCCACCTAGTGTCAATGGTAAAACTAACATCATTTTCATATTAAGCATACTAAATAATAGCAAGATACCAAATTTCATTTAAATCGGTTGAATAATTTTCAATATATCCCTAAAAATAATATAAAAAAATATTATTGAATCACCCTGTAGAACAAAAACTAGCAACGTTTTGCCTAAGCAATTTGAGCTCAAACGCTTTATTTTGATGTCAGCTATCACCCATTGGCTAATGTCCAATTAATTATGGGACACCCTGTATACTTAGTCGTTGGCCTTCTGTAATACTCATCTTTTGTCGAGTCATCTGTCCAACTTTTAGAAGTGTCGCCATTGTGCACATACATCTCAACAAAAAAATTTTTGGTCAGTTTTGCAGTCTAAAACATTTAATTCGTAATATATAAATTTGTTAAATTTTAAATTAATTTTTTTTTACGCTGGCTTAACAATTTTCGGTTTTATAGAAAGAGTGAACTATTCGACGAACATCTGTAATCAAATATTGTGGTATACATGTAGATGCCTTTTTGGTACGTTTTTTGCTTGTTGAAAACTCCATTCAGCTTCAGACTATAACGGCAAATGATTCAGCTTGTCGAATGATTCTTTTTTACAGTCGCAAAAGAATACGATACTATAATTATAATTTATTTATTATTATTATTAATTTATTTAATTATTATAATTCTGTTTCAAACATGTGATTGTTCGGATATCTCTGCGAGTTTTTTTTTCACTCATTTTTTGTACACAAAACTCACTTTAAAATATCTAAATTACTTTAAATAGATATTATATAAACATGTATCTAAGTGACGATACTAAGTACCTAACGGTTAAAGATGCGCTACTGACGAAGTGGATAATTAAGAATTATGTAAAAAAGGCGACTGGCTCGATTCGATACGAAAATGAAGATTTGTGCTGGATCTTCGTATCTGACGCTTACTTTATCTTACAAGTTCTTTCATTTACAGAACATCTGCAGATAAACAAATTAGGCATAGAGCATGTTCTCTTCGAGATTATGCATATACTTTAATAAAAACTGAAATGGATACCGATTTTGAGGATCGATGTCAAGAAATATCACAGAAACGACGTCAAAGAAAGCATTGCCCCTTAAAGTACCTGCCTCCTTACATTTATACTCCAGGTTTGTACTTATTACTAACTGTACCGAATTACAATATAAATAGTATAATTTGCATCGTTTTTAGAATTAATGGATGAAGATGTACAAAATGATCCAGAAGGAAATGCACAACCAGATTTGAAAGGTGACGGCAAAGTCGATAGTAAATCTAATAGAAAAAGGAAAAAGTGTAGATGGCAAAGAGGTGAATTAGGGAAAAATAAGAAGAGGAGAACGTTAGATAATTCGCAGGTAAGGTTTTTAACATTTTATATTACTCAAGAAAGAAATTGTGCATTGATTGAATAAATACATTGTTTACCGGGTAGGAAAAGCTTAACATTCCTGGACGACTGTGAAGATTGCTAAGTCGAGGCGCAAGCCGAGACTTAGCAACACAGAGTCCAGGAATGTGGCTTTTCCTACGAGGTAAACATACTATTTTTCCGCAAATCGTTTAAAATTCGACATATATTGATTGATTAAAAAAAACGCGATAATTCTATTCCCAAATAAATGGTGCTTTGAAATTCCTTGGGTTACTATGGAAACGTATTGAGGTTGAATTGTCAAACTATATATACATTTATGTAGAACACTAACAACTGTACGGAAATATCATTTCCTTACAGTAAGGAAGTCCTGACTTTTTCTTCAAGAAATTTTGACAGGAATGTCAAAATTTCCTGGCGATTTGCGGAAAACATTGTTTTCTGGGAATATGACAGGCGTATTACATTTTATAGGTTATAATAAAACACTAAATGACTTATACCACTGATAGATAGTTACAATAGTAAAATAAATACATGGTGATTTGAAATCTTCCTACTGTTAACGTTAAATATAAACTTCAAAAACTCCACTATAACTATAAACTTCACAAACTCAAATAGAACTGTTCCAAACTGTTAACAACATTTGCTTATATAGAGTTATTGATCTTCCAGAGTTCGTCAGATTTTTCAAGATTTTTCAGTGGCATCTTGAATATTCTAGAATTTTAATACTTCTTCTTTTTCGTGAAGATACTTCTTCTATGTTTGATAAATCTTACGGAACTTTCGTAACAATACTATCTCGATCTGGTAATGTTATGCGATGAGAGTAGTTATTGAGATTTTTATATACACTCGGTGCAAAAAATTTGATCCATGCCTATTTTATAAAGAAAACACATTATGGGCATGCCACTTATAGATTGGACATAGATTTACGGAGGAACATTTAATGTAAATAAGAATCACAATTTATGCGAAAAAATTATTTATTTTAATAAAATGAGGCTTTATTCGAAACTTGAAAAAAAAAAAAAAAATAATGTTTGTCATTTGTTATTAATACATCGTATTTCTTCCTCCGGCCCTTATAATAGCTTGCATTCGTCTTGGCATTCTGATAATTAACTTTTGAACATAAGGTGAGTCCAATTCGTCCCATATTGTCTGAAGAGTTGCACTAAGCTTAGACGAGTTATTTGGACGGGGTAGCCGAACTTAAATTCGTCGTACAAGTGTGTCCCATAGATGTTCGATTGGATTGAGGTCGGGGCTAGAAACTGGCCAATTCATACAGACAATACCGACGTCTTCTAAGTATTAAGTGAATGGTGGGGATAGAATGGTGGGGACGTGCGTTATCGTCCATAAAAATAAAATGACCTATGAATGGCGCAAAACGTTCCACATGCTAATCTGAAATCGCTGATATATACCCTGCCATAGCACCTCCATCCACAAAAACTGTTAGTACGGGCATCGGAAGTTATATGAGCCCAAACCATAACTAAGCCTCCTCGATAGGTGATTCTGTCGGTTATATTGCATTGGGAAAATCGTTCTCTTTTGTCTTCCCCAAATTTTTTCGCGACTTCAAGCAAAACCTGGACTCATCCGAGAACAAAACATTACTCCAATCTGCGTAATTCCATTTTTTTATGTTCCAAGTTAAAGTTGATTGGATGTAATCGAATGAACTGTCTTACAATAAAGTCGTCCCAGGAACGCAACTCAGCAATATTGGCAATATGTATATGTTTGACAATGGCTTTCATTATTTTAAATAATTCTGTCACGTACTTCGATATTTTGTTGTCTCGGTTTATTTAGTGAAATTTGGCGCGGGTTTTAAACGCACTAAAGGTGCACTTACATGGGCAACAAAAATTGCTCAATTGTGAACAATAATGGTCGATTGTGTCGTGCCAAAATATCAAGCGATTTATGGTAACGGCAATAAGTATCGATTTAGCAAAATGTTTAGCAACTAAAATATTGAGCGATATGGAGCATCCCGAAGAAACTAGACAAACTAGACTTTTAGAAAGACGGAAGCAAACTTCCCTAGAATGTCCCAAAGTGATTTTGAATTTCTTTTGAATAAAGTTAGCCCGTTAATTACAAAACAGACGACCAATATGAGAGAACCAATTCCTGCATTAATAAAATTTGCCCTAACTCTTGCAGAATCAATAAGTGCATACGAGCTATAAAACAAAATTGACTTGAATTTCTATACCCACTGGATATTCGGCAATTCGTATCAGTGACATTGAGCAATATGGAATATATGGAACAGTTGAAGCAATATTGCCGAAACAATTGCCGCATTTTTTTGAATTGTTGCATGTCGCTCCACTAATTACTCCAGATTGATCCATTCATGTAGTTGCCGAGCAATTATTGCTTGAAAATCTCTATAAGCGCACCGTTACATTAACGGTACTGGTTAAGTAAATCGTGGCAATGAAACAGCAGCTAGTACAAGTCTGTCTAAATAGCAGATAACACTAACACGAACACTTCTCAAAATACATACTATTGAGTGAATTTCGAGCTTCCAATTATCTTGCTTTACACATTGCTCACAAAAATTAACTACGAACTGGAATTTGACTGGTGCCATGTACTTAGATTTGTACATAAATTATAGTAGGCCAGCCTTATGTAATATTATAGAGATCAACCTTGAATGCATTGAGCAGAAAAAGGTATTTAAACCGAATATTGCACCTTCAAATTACTCACAAAATGTGTGGACTTTTATCTCTGGATAGGACGAAGAGATACAATTGTATGTTCTTTAGTGTAATTAAAGTTGGATTTTTTGGAGGACAAATAAAAGCAAATCGTTAACGTATGCCATGAAGTAATATTCCTTATAGTTATTAAATATTTGCGGTATTAAATGTGTATAGTTTGTAAAATTTATTAAATAGCCCGGTTTAGATGGATAGATGATCATGTAATAGGGCGATAGGAATTTACATAATTCCTCTGGAGCTTTGACCAAAAAAATAAATAAGGGGTCGAATCTAAGATAGCTCAAATAGTAGTTATGTAAATAATTTGGGGAAAAGAAAAAAACCTATATTCCGTTGAGTGGAGAGAGGAAAGTTGTCTGGGATTTAATGGAATGCCAGTAGTAATAATGAGATATAAAGTTAACTAACTATTCCAGACCCATGAATCAGATACCTATAGATTATCAAGCTGGTATGTGGAAGTATAATAGTTTCTGAATTGCCTCCAAAATATTTGTCCTTAGTTTCTCAATAAATCTTGTGAAACAGGATCTTTGGAACAGAAAAGAGTAGTGTTGAAAGTTTTGTTTTTTTTTCTGTTTTTATGTTAGCTAGACCATATTACGTAATATATAAATAAAAACATTTTAGAATGGAGACAAAGCAGTAACATCGGATGAGTCTAATGATGAACCGGAAACCAAAACAGCCCAATATCATCCTGCCAGAACTAGTGATAATGCCACTTCAGGAATAAAAGACACTCCCACCGGAAGAACATCTGGCAATTCCACTGCCCCGCTCACTGTTAACTGTGATATGAATAGTAGTATGAAAGCAGACATGTCTGGTCATTTACAGTAAGTATTTAATCTATATGGTTTATGTAAATTTTCTTTATCTTCTAAACACGCTTCATGGAGAATTTTGCCTAATTTGTTGTGATTTTTTGACGTAATTCTTTTCATAGATTTGTTTTGTATGCAAAACAATATCGTTCCTTTTCTTAGTTCACTTATATACCCAAATTGTTGTATTCTCACGACTGAATAACATTTAAAGTTTGTAAATGTTGAAAATGTCAGTACTGAACTGAATCAAAACTTGGTTTTTGAGGAATATCTGTTAATGTGGATGCAAAGTTTTTATTACCTAAATTCCGAGTCATAAATTATATTAGCAACGTATCCACTGTACTGTTTTTATTCTTATACTGTGTTTCTTGCATCGTATTTTCTTAATTTAAAACAGTTTCCGTGTCTATTTTACCAAAGTAGGTGTAATTGCAACAAATTTTATTTTGATATGTATTTACAGATCCCCAAAAAGAAGACTGAGTGATATCTTAAGCCCTTCCGAACTATTAGACAACCCATTAGATTTTGATGATGTAGATGAAGCATTGAATGAATCAGGTAAATGATTTTCGTTTAATAGTACAATAAAAAAATGCTTAGCTATGATTTAATTTCTAGTAGGTGGCAGTACATCTAATAGCAAATCGATAGAAATTTCCCATTCGGAATTAGAAAAAACTTTAGAGATGGCAGTGAAAATAACGGAAGGCTTATCGTTAATTTCTCTTCTGGACCTTTACAATCAACTGAGTAGGGTAGTAAAAAAGTTTTCGAGGACGCCCATAAGGACCACGTTACCAAAGGTGAGTAACAGTTTATTTGCTGTGATAATCTATACGATACAGAGGGAATATTGTGTAACTTATTTAGAGTAGAAACGAAATAGATATTAGATTTTGTAGTGAGAGAAAGTGTTGTATTTAACTGGTGTATATATTTTAAGTTTCCCTCTTCTTTTGTTAGGATTTTTGCATTAAAATCTCCTGTGACTATGACGAAGTGTACTTTCTCCTAATTTCGAGCTGTTGTCAGATCTTTTAAAATGATTCAGCTTCCTCGTCTGATTAATTTTCCGTCGGTGCAGATCCGTGTATTGTCTGTAAGTTATATCTGCTCTTCAAAGCATTTATCTCGTTTTGTTGAGGTTTATGTATACAGGGTGTCCCCGAAAATAGTGCGTTCCTTAAAGGTATAGGTAGAAGGCACCATGTAGAGCAAAAAAGTCTTATTTTTTTCTAAATTCAGCCGTTTGACTAAAAAACGAAAATACATTTTGGTATGCAAAAAGAGATCTGTCAACTAAGCGCAGTAGGAAAATTTAAACGTAGACAATCACAACTTTGGTAAACAGATATTTTCGAATAATTGTGTAAGTGTCACTGCGAAAATGTTTTTGATTTGTAAGTAGTATGATATGCTCATTATTTATGGACAAAAGCGCAGTGCTACAGTAATTTAGCTAGCCAAATTGATTTGCATCGGTATCCCCAAAGGCAAACTCCTAATATTTAAACGTTTGTCAATGTTTCTCAAATATTATTAGAAGCGGTTCTATTGTATCAAAAAAATAGTCGCAGAACAAGAAGTTCCGTCAATTAAATGTAGAAGACGACATGTTTGGTGCTGTAAAAAATAATCCAAAATGTAAGTACACGAACGGTGACTAAAATAGTAGGAATGTCGAAAAAAGTTGTTCATAGAACATTTCGGTAACAACTTCTACATGTATACCACTATCAGAGAGTAAAAGATTTACACCAGGGTGATCTTCTTTGAAGATTAACATTTTGTAGGTGGTTTCAAGATAAACTCCCCAGAGAACCTAAATTTCCATCTAAAATATGTGCGAATGAAGCATGTTTCACGAGAAACAGTGTATATAATTTTCATAATTGCCACATATGAGGCGACGAGAAAGTCACAAATGAGTTTTTATTCAGAAGCGCTTTCACTGCGTACGACGTTGCCAGATTATTTAATTTTCTGAAAATAAAAATTCACGTATATGGAAAAAATGTAATTTTTTTTGAAAACGCCTAACTTTATTTAGAAAAAATGTTATAGAACTTTTTTGTTCTAAATTGTCCCTATAAGTTGTCCATCTGTTCTGACTTCCATTTTGTTGTTTTGGTAAATGTTTTCGATATTTTTTGTAATATTTAGGGGAACTTCGCTATTATACAGAAGATGGATTCCATCTTTGAAACTCACTCTGTCAAATGCTTTCTTTAGGTCAATCAGACACAGAAATGCTGGTCTATTATACTCTAGTGATTTCTCAGTAATTTGCGTTATAACGAATATTGCATCTGCACACGATCTTCCACTACGAAAACCCTGTCGTTCGTCTGTTAAACTTATCCTCTGATTTATTAGCACTTGTAAAATTAAGAAAAATTTGACATTTTATATTTATTAGCAATGATTTTATTCATGTCCCTTAACTGATACATACATTTTTTTATTTCTAGGAGCTTCTAAGAGAACTTGCGAGGTTCAAAAAGGAAGGACTTACAGAATAATTTCTTTTACTAATGAGTACAATTTTATTTATGTTTCAGTATTTTAGTTGATTTTAACATAATTGCTTTTAGTTTTTAAGTTTATTCCTAAGAATTATTACACCACCAAAGATATTCAACATGTTGGGTTCTCACTGCCATAAATTGTTTTATTCAATGTTCGGTTATTAGTTTATATACGTGCCTTTTCCTTCAGTGTAATGGTTACTTTTTCAAATATAATAGGATCCCCAGTTTTATAATGTAATATAATAATATGAAAGTTTAAAATAAATAAAAATTGTGGGATATTTACTATGTGGTTTTATTTTTTTTCTGTGTGCGCAAAGAAAGTATCTGCAACAGTCACCACTAATATTAAACTTACTTACTTAAATTACAAGATCGATATCCAGGTCCTTGTAACTTTTGTAGACAAAATACTCGAACTAATCGATGAAAAGAGAGAGATTGCAAACTAGCCAAGTACAAAAAAAGTTAAGAAAAACGAAAGAAAGTTATTTGAACGAAAAATACAGCGAAATCAAAAGTATACAAGAAATACATAACGTTTTAATTTGCACAACAAAATAAAAAAAAACTAGTGAAATACAGAAAACAACAAACCTACTACGTATACTGCCGGTATTAACAATCCCCCACTTACTGACCAAAGGTTTAGGGCTGATGAGTTGGTGAGTGGTAGGGCATTATTTTGTCCTGGGGTTGAGAAACCGGCCCCGAAGGCGGATGAATCAACAAATAATGGTCAACGGCATAAGAATGCAGAAGGCAAAGGGGAACTGTGATAACACGTGGTCGGGTTTATAGGATAGGTTATGGAGAGTGGAAATTAGGTTACAATGAAACACTTTTCATCTATCGTGTCTAGATTCAGAATGAATTTGTCTACTGACTCACCTTCATCTTGTTTTCTGTTAAACAGGCAATACCTTGCGTTTGGGTTTGAAATGTGCTTCAAATTTTGTAATTAATGGTTCTAACTTATCTTTTTCTTCTGTTGAGAACTTAAACGTATTATAGATTTTGAATCCGTCGTCTCCTATTAGTTGTAGCAGTTGTGCGCATTGGTTATTTCAGGTTTTTTTATTAATTCTGTTGCTTGAAGGTAGTTTTTAAATCTTTGTATGAAGAACTTCCAGTTTTCGTATAAATTACCTGACATTTGCATTGAGTTTATTGCTGCCTTAGATTCCATTTCACTTTTATACTCTTCTTAAATCTTAAAGAATTCGGTTTGGTTTCAGATTTTGGTTTTCGGCACCATGAGAGGACACGTGGTCGGGTTTATAGGATAGGTTATGGAGAGTGGAAATTAGGTTACAATGAAACACTTTTCAGGAACCACTGTATTAACGGCTCATAGAGCTCCCCCAGGAAAATCACCATAGAATTGACACTGCAATTGAAAACCGTTAATAATCACGGAAAGCGGGGGCCAATATTGGGCAGGAGAGGAAAAACATATTTATACAACGAGGCCTTTCACGTGGTAAACATGTGAAAACCTCGTGAAGAAATCCTAAAAATAAAGAAATCTAATTTTAGAATGTGCACATGGAATGTTAGAAGTCTATTTGCGACTGGGAAACTTGACAACGCAATTCAAGAAATGAAAAGAGACCTACTGGAATTCAGCGAATTGAGATGGCCAGAGTCAGGATCATGTAAAAAAGACGGAAGTGTATTATATTGTTCCGGTAACAGCACAGAAGACAAGCATCACAAAAATGGTGTAGGTATATTAGTAACATCAGAACTGGGTAAATATGTGACCAATTTCGTACCAGTCTCGGATATAATGATATTACTCCAAATAAATACTCAACCATTTAAAACTAAAATACTTCAAATCTACGCCCCGACTGCAGATAGAATATGACGATGAAGTCGGGGAAGTTGTATGATCAGATCCAAGACATTTTACAGAAACTTAAACACGAAATTTTATATATTATAGGAGACTTCAATGCAAAAATTGGGGAAGGTCGATTATAGATTCTTATGGTCTAGGGCAACCTAACGATCGAGGACAGAGATTGTATGAATGTTGTAAAGAAAACGATATGATCATTGCAAACACCTAGTGTAAACTACCCAAGCGACGACTGTGCACTTGGAAAGCCCCATTTGATGATGGCAATAACCCTGAGTGCTCAAGAAATCAAATAGACTATATACTTGTAAATGAGCGTTTCCGAAATGCCGTCAAAAAGTCACTACATTTCCTGGGGCAGATATTGGATCTGATCATCAACCACTTGTAGCAGATATTAAACTAAGGTTAAAACCAATTCAGCGACAAAAACCAATGTACCTAACTTTGACGATATAAACATAACATTAAAAAAGAATTTAACAATAGAATAAAAAACATCGGAGAACAACTAGAAGATCAAGAAGAACTACGGAGTTCTTCTTGATCTTCTAGTTGATGTATTTGCATGTTTTGTGGACTTTTGACAGAGACAAAAAAGTACTGTATTGAGTACTTTCGCTCAGATCCAGGTTTTTTTATCTTGATTTGTGTTGTATTTATTATTCAGACTGGCAATTATATTCTTTTATCTTTTCGTGTCTGGAGCTTTATAAAACTATACTTTGAAAGCGTTGATGTAAATAGGCCTTTACGCACGTAAAACGTTTATTGTGCTTAAAAGGTACAAAACCTAGGGTTCTTTTAGGAGCTAGATACCTGGTAATTTGTTCACTTTTTTCCTCCTGTAACTTCTCTTTCTACACTTCCATCTGTCCCATCTATTATACTTTTAATTGTTTTTAAAAACGTTGACACTAAACCCTCACATAACCCCAAATTTGTAAGACTCACTGGGTCAGTTGTGGCAGTTGCAGAGCTCCTACTGGTTGGTTGGAAATAGGCTGGTTAGCTTGGATCAGTAAAGTGGAAATAAGTTGTTTTGCATTTGCATGTAAAGGTGGTTTTTAACACGCTTTTACCATTGGTAATATTTTTTTGCACGAATCAGATAAAATAAACCACTTTGGCTACAACAGAACAATGCATTGGCACATCTAAATCAACTTTGATTTTTGTGGTTGTTTGCATGTTACCTCATCATATACAGAAATGAAGGATATCCTAAATATATACTAAAATTATATCACAGACGTACCTCCAAAGCAAAATATTTACAGTTTATTCGATATGAATCAATGGTCACTGCAACGGCGACATGCAATTCTAATAAACAAAATTTATCTAATTCTTTTTTGACTGTACACACACAGTAAGAACTTCTTCTTCTCGTGTCACTCCTAGCGGAGATTGGAAATCATCATGGCCACTGCGACTTTGTTAGCAGCGCGCCTGAAAAGTTCAATCGAACTACACCCGAACCATTCACGTAGATTACGAAGCCACGATATTTTCCTTCTTCCCACACTTCTTTTGTCCTGCATGATGTTTCTTAAAAGTTCGTACTTTTCACCTCTCACAATGTGCCCCAAGGATGCCCAAGTATCTTTCTAGTTTTTATCTCATTTAGAATTTCGCATCTTTTGTCTAAAGTTTGGAGTACTTGCGTGTTAGTGACGCGGTCCATCCATGATATTCTGAGAATGCGCCTATAGCACCACATCTCGAAAGCTTCGATGTTTTTTGTTAATATAAGCTCCCGTACTAATGTAATATTCAAGATATAAGAAAAAGAAGAATTAAGTTTTTAAGGTTATGTCAATGTTCTCAAATATGTAATAACGGTTACACATGTTTAATTAATATTTTCAGTTTTCTCAGGCTAATAATTATTGTTTAATAAACTTTTACAATTCGACAGTATAGTTATTTTATTTATCAGGTTATGGTTGCCCAGACACGGTATTACGGAATTTGAAAACTAGCCTGTCGTTCACACCGGTGCGTGGTAAAATATATACGTCCATGTGGTAAAAGTTGTTTCACGTTTAAGTCGTGAGTTTCCCGTGTTTATTTTTCGTTACGTTCGAGTCGTACAATTACAAAATAAACATTTAGTGAAGTGCAAAAATGGCCTCAGCTGTGAAAATTGATTCTGGGAATATTACTAAATTTGATGGGTCAAATTTTCAACTATGGAAATTTAGTGTGACCATTTTGTTTAAAGCAGAGAAGCTGCTACCAATTGTGAATGGGACAGTTAGAGAACCAGAAGACCACACTAGCAGTGACTGGAAAGAATGGGATGACAAAAATTCAAAAGCACAGGTAATTTTGTTATCTACTATATGTCAAGATCAAATACAACATTTGATAAATTGCGAAAATGCTTCAGAAATGTGGTCAAGACTGATCACAATACACGAACAAAAGACAGAAATATCTAGAGAGTTGCTATGGCAAAAATTTTATGAATATAAAATGCATGAGAATGCAAAAGTTGCAGAGCATATATCAACAATAGAATTATTAGTTAGACAGTTAAAAGATGTTAAAGAAACTATTAGTAATAGTGCTGTTTGTTCCAAAGTAATTAATAGTTTGCCTCCTAGATTTAATGCCTTTCGTACAGCCTGGGACTCTGTAGCTAGTGATCAGCAAACTTTTGAAAATTTAGCAGCAAGATTGCTTAAAGAAGAAACTAGAATGAATAATGATGACTCTGAAATATCTCGTCTTGCTTTACAAGTAGAGGCTTTACAAAGTAAACTGGAAGCCACCAGTAAAAAGAAAACAAATATACAGGACTTAAAGAAGAATTCCACCTGTAATTATTGTAAACGCAAGGGACATTGGGTTAGAGAGTGTAGAAAGAGAATACATGATTCCAAAAATGAAGATAAAAACAAGTCATCAGCAAGTAATATAGCATCAAGTTCAGCTTATATATGTGATATTTCTTCCATGTACTTGTCAACCTCCAGTGTAAATAAAAGTGAGTGGATATGTGATTCAGGAGCAAGCCTACACATGACTGGTGAAAAATTGTTGTTTTCAAAATTAGAATCTCTATCTGAACCTATGTTTGTTAGAATAGCAAACGACAAGCTGATTCCTGCAGAAG